GATATGAAGGGAGGCTCCTTAAAGATATCTTTCAGATTTGTTTTATTCTGTATAAGGTGCCATTTCTCCATGAGTATGTCCTTAAGGTCAGGCAACGCTTTGTGGCATGCGCAGAATTTTGTTGCATGCATTTCAGGAGACTCCGTAGCTTTACTTCGAGAAAGCTAAATTGGCTTGTCTAGAGAAATTGTTATAATTCTTTAAGAGAGGATAAAGGGTAAGAGAGTGTATCTTTCATATAGGCCCTATCTCCATCGTAATCCCTCTTAAGTTATTTTTAGTAACAAAATGGCGCTTACTTCAAATTTAAATATCTTTATGAGCTTTAATGCAATTAAGCTGAATTTTTTTACAAGTGTTAAAATTGTCGTTTTCTAAAATGTGATATTTTTACTCTTTCATGTTTTGACAAATTTGCCCGGGAAAATGACGTCACAGCTTTGACGCCAATTTTGTTTTTTATTATTATGGGATATCTTAAGACTGCATCTAGACGAGCCTACAACAAGGATCTCAAAACTGAAAAAAGTATTGAAATAGGACCATCCACTCAAAAGATATAACGTTTTAAAATTTGAAATTCGCGCCATTTTAATACTAAAATAGCTTAAGAGGGATTACGATGGGGATAGGGCCAATATGAGGGATTCACTCTGTTACCTTTTATCCTCTCTTGGTTTCTTGCAGCTATCTGATCGAGCTTATGTTTCTGGAGCTCGATGTATAGGTTTATTTCTCCTTTAATCGTTCTGGTACCACAGGATTCAAATGTAGCTCTTTACGCGCAAGTCTGTTGACTGTGTTGCGTGTTGTACATGCCATTGTTCGGCTTAGTTCAGGCAAGACCATGGTTTCGATCCTCCATGTTGATCTCATCAGTTGCCGGTTTTTCTAAAATACTCTGTACGTCTAAAGTTGCTAAGCGCAACTAGTACATAACGTGGTTGAGTTTCAAAAAAGTAAGGATCGAAAAGTACATTACGCCTTTGGCTAGCTGTTATAGCCAGTAGAAACCAGACATTTTCGATCCGTCACAAGGGTACACACCACGAGAAGTTTGTGCCAAGCCGCAGAATGTCTAGCCTGCGTAGCAGGCGTATAAAGGGGGGGGGGGGGGGGAGGAGGAAGAGAATTCGGGCAAAAAAAAAAACAGTGGAGCAGTGAGGAGGAGGGGGGAAAGGTACGCCTGCTATAAAGACCCCGATTGGTTCATTTCTGCAGTCGCTGGCGGCCGCAAAATTCTGATTGGTTAATCAGACAATACGACGGGTTTGTGAAGTAATGCGAAAACAACCAAAATGGCGGCCGAAGTAGAGAGATTTGGCTGATTTGAACGTGGTCGCTTGTAGTGAATTCAAGTTAAAACCGGAGTAAGAAGTTGCAGTAATATATCTTCTAGATGGAAAAGATGTGTTAGTGTATTGTTATTGCCTGAACTAAGCCGAACAATGGCATGTACAACACTCAACACAGTCAACAGACTTGCGCGTAGAGAGCTATATTTGAATCCTGTGGTACCGGAACGATCAAAGGAGGAATAAACCTATACATCGAGCTCCAGAAACATAAGCTCGATCAAATAGCTGCAAGAAACATAAGAACTTCTCTAGACAAGCGTATAGTTTTCTCGAAGTAAAGCTACGGCGTCTCCGAAGAAAAACGTACGAGGGCAGATATGATACCCGTGACAAGAATCTGCCTACTGTACTTGCAAACAGTTCTAATCATAGCCGGGCCCGGCGTCACAATTTAGAATGCAAGTAAGCAACACGTTCAAAGTAAACGTCATATTTTGTCCCTCAAAAGCAAATACTTTGAGACTTAAAAACATATCTTGCAATAGAAATGAGCCAGAACAACACACTAACACATGGCAAATTACATAGGTGTCAAACTTAACGAAGCGACATGCAGGTAACAGGATTGTATTGCAATAGACCGCAATCTCGTGCCTGCAGTCCTGAGGCTCTTTGGTCAACGGGTTGTCGTCAGGAGAGACTCTGTGTTAATGGACGCCATTTTTCCACAAAATCTCTGCTGGCACTTCTGAAGTTGTAAAGTAACGGGTCATGTAGCAGCTGCCGTAAGATCCTAAGGCAATTGGTTCGCCACCCAAAACTCCCAAACAATGCTAAAACAATAGTGACGATTGAAATCTATTGTTTCAAGTATCCAATGAGAAGAGACCTTACGAACAACTGCTACATTACCGAAAGTAACAGCCAATAAAAAATTCGATTTTCTTCGATTATTCCAGAGTCTCTCCGGGCGCCCACCCGCTGACCAAAGAGCCCGAGGACTCTGGGTACGAGATTGAATGGACCGTTGACAACTCGAACGGTTATAATAAATTACTTTTGTTAGTAATCCTTTCAACAATGGCATCTAGGCGGCGTATGCTTAACCTGGTTTGACAGTTCCATTTGATTAAATGAAATAATTGGGGTGGTTGTCAACCGCACTACAACAAGGGCAACGATTTTACGCTTTCCTGCAATTGTCGTGGGAGTTGTAAACTTCGCGCCAGCAACTTGAACTGATCTTTTTTCTTTGTTTTCACCAACCAATCAAAGGCAGCCACGTTTTGGATCAGCTCGATCAGCTCAGAGGTTACGTAGGTAATTTAAGTAGGGTTATTAAAGTGTATCATACATGGCAATGTATTGTTAGCATGCATGATTAATTTAAGGCTGCCGCATACCTTCAGAGGTGTCTCGCGTCCAAGCAATGTAGCGCGTCCAGTTTAAACTGTGGATACCTAAACCCCTATATCAAATTAAAGCTTACAGAGCTGGCTATCCAACTATACCAATAATTTTGAATGGAATGAATTGTCGAATTTTTCACGGCTTCTAAATGTGCGCGTCCGAATCATCATTTCAAAGCTACAAGTTAAAGCGAATTTTGTCTTTCGCTAATTTAATTTGTTCCTCAGTTTTCGGACCAAAAGCGCTAAAAAACCTTGTCCGCGTTTTGACATACTCAGTTACAGTAAAAAGTTATGGAACGTTTTCGAAATAGTATAAGAAAAATGTGAAGTGTTTGTACAAAAATCGCTCTCATTGAAAAAATATTTCGAAAGAAAAAATTCGCAGACAAGTTTTTGTTAAAGTGCTACTATGATCAAAAAATTACTTCCGTTTTTTCTTCAGATTTTGAAGACGTGTTTCTTTAACACCTGATTGGCAAAATTTTGAGCTTTGATTTTTATCCAAAGGCCGTTTACTTTGAGTATAAGTTTTCGATTTCACGGTCCGCCATTACTCACGTTCAAAACTGACCGATTGGACCTCAGGGGATTGAATCTAGGAAAAGTGACGTCATTTACTCACTAGCTTAAAATTTTAGCGTGTGAATGCAGCTTATTATATATGTAAAATACGAGTTTAAGTCTGAAAGCCCGAACCTCCCGTGCTGCATATTAATTCAGCCGCGTATACACGCATTGCATTCTTAAACTAGTGAGTCTTTGACGTCATGTTCTCCTCGCTCCAACTCTCTCAAGATTTAAAGTTAGTAATGGCGGACCATTAAATAGGAAAATTCCAGTTAAAATAAACAGGTGTCGTTTCGAAATCAAGGCTTACAACTTGGGAGATTTGGTGCTTAGTTAACATAGTTTAACTTGAAATGACGTGCCATGTAAATAACTTTTTGGATCTTTGGCAATGATGTAATTTCTCTGGAATCGAGATACTTGAATTTTCGTGTATTTATACACGCGCATAGCCTGCGACCGCAGACGTATTTCCGGTCGTTGCTAACACGCGTACTAAATCAATTCAGAAACAAGTAAAAAGAATCGACGTCGATAAAGTAGGAAGTAAAAAACATTTAGCGAGTAAATCCTGTTTCGCGTAGAATTAATCGCCTCCTCATTGCTCGATCTAATCTCCAAGCAGAGCGAGACTGATTGACGCTGTAAGTGCGTTCTTGTTCTCCATAAGTTACTCAACTAATTGCTAATTGAGAGTTGTGTTTTTGTTGTTTTCTTACTGTTTCCTGCCAAGAAACAGAAAACAACACAGACACAACTCTTTAGGAGGTACGTATACTTAAATAGCTGTTTATGTACATTTTAACCGTTTTATCGATCTTACAATAACTTCCCATTCAAATCCTTTTAATTTGGCTTCCAGTGACTTCCAGCAGGGTGTTGTGAGTCTGGGTTGCCTGTGCGTTTACGAACATATTCTCCGGAACCCAGGCTTTTTCAGGCACGTGAGTCGATAAGCCCCTAGGACATCTACGCAGAAAACATGTCGCAGGTTTGTCCACATTGTCGTCTTGTTTTCCTCTTTTCCTGCAGTGTTTTTTTCAACTTCGTTTGTTTTGTTTTGTCATATGTTGCAGGATAGTGAACTTTCTTACGCTCATCGAGATGGGTGGTTACTGGAGTTGATCGACGAAGCCTGGCACATGGACAAGTTGCCCAACGATGGTAGAAAGTTATATTTAATAGTGTCTAGCATTTTATAAGCGTAGAAAATTGAAGCTTAACATATATGCTTTCAAGGAAATGTCTTCATTCATATAGGGGTTTATCATTATTGTTAGTGACCCAACATTTTGTTAGAACTAACCATTTAAAAAGGTCAGCTGTGGGATCGCGTTCGTGAAAAGCAACAAAAGTTTTGATCCGGGGCTGGCAGCTACATTTGTCTGACTAGCAGTGATTGAGTAGATATTATTATACAAAGGGTAGGGTTAGCCTGCGTCGCCGACAGTCTAAATCCCTCATATAGAGTTAAAGACTACATCAAATTTTTTCTCTATCCGGGTCTCGAGTGACAAGTCCGGGTGCAATGCAGGCTTAGAAGGTAGGGTATGAAAGTGCCAAAGGGATATACCGGTGCCTTTAGTCAATTAGCAGTTGAAAAAACACCCTGCTAAGTCGATATTTAAGGAGTGGCTTTGTCATTTGAATTCTAGGGTCTATATTATAAAGACCTGTTGTCATATATTTAAGCTATCTGAGATGTGGCAACTGAAAGGTGACCCCCTATTATGATAGTTTGTGTTGCCATTTACATGGTGCTTACAAAAGGAAAGAATTGTTGCGAATCTGTTAACTCCATTGATGCCCTCATTTATGCATGGTTGCCATTCTCCCGGGACCACTTACATAAAAGTTTGTGTGCAATGTAGCTGCTAATGTTAAGCTTTAAAATTAAAGTTTTGATTGGACTGTCAGCTGTGTTATTTATGCACCTGCCCCACGTTATGTCTTTAAAACAAATATGTACTGTGGACAGACAGAGAATTTTCACTTTATTGTTCACTTTATTTTATTTTAAGAGATTTCTGTTCCTGAATTTGAACTTCCACCGGTTGATGACAGTGACCGTAAGTATTTCTGTTTACTTACTTTTGCATTCTGTTTTTTAAGTGAAATTACGAGTGGAAAATTCATGTGTTTCTGAGCGTGTAGGTGAACAGAAAAAAAAAGTTGCGACCTGTACTATGTAGGTACCCTTTAGGGGTACTGGTTACAGCATAGGTTCAAGGGTGTCTCATCTGCAAGTGCTATACTGGTAGTGCATTCCAGTTAAAATACAGAGACCTGAAACCCTTACCAAATTAAATCTTATTGAACTGGTAACCTTAATAACTGAAAAAATGTGTTGAAACCTCTAACTGTCAATTATGTTTTATTTTTTTAAAGTGAGCCAGAAAATTCCAATTTGGTCTGGAAAGTATCTCTGATTACATGAGAACACTGAGAGGGTCACAGCCACTTTATGAGTTATTGGAACTGTCCAGTTTTACCCTCTCTAAACAAAGTTAGTTTTTATGATGCAGTGGGTGTTCACTCATTGCCAGTTGTATTGGACATGTCATTTTATTGTGTAAGGAAGGGAATATTGGATGTGAGTTGTGTGACATACGTCTCCCTCTGCATCTCATTACCCCACACTTACAAATAATGCCCTAATGGGTTTATTTCAGGAGAAATTTGGTACTTTTAGTTTTTAAAAATTTGAAACATTAAATTTTCCCTTCAACTTGTAGACAATGGAATAACAGACTCAGTAAAAGAACAGGAACAAAAGTGGACAGATCTTGGAATTCAACAGCTACAAGAATCACAGCAAAACAGTGGAAACTAGAGCAGCAAATAAGCTGCTACATTGTATATAACACTTGCAAAGAGAGGAGATCTGTGTTTCATGAGGAAGTGGCCAGTAGAAGTCTTTTTTCCTTTTCTTTCACCCAACACATCTGGCAAAGAAACAATCTTAGATTACAGGGTTCGTACAGATTTTTGTGTCCAAAATTCAAGACTTTTTCCAGATTTTTTTCTAAAACAATAACTTCTTTTTCCAGACTCAAGATTATCATGTAGAGACCTTAAACAACACAGGAACAGAGCTTTTTTTATGGTGCATTACGAACATAAGGGTGAGATTGAAGAAGATTTCACCAAAAGGAAAAAACTTCACTTCTAAACCACTTGTTTTTTTTTTTTTAGACTTTATCTCCATTAAGCTGATGAGGTGATATTCAGTAAAGAAATATCAAAAAGTGTCAAATGTTGTTAAAAAAACACAAACTTTTCTGGTTTATGACCCTTCTTCATGTCTGGAAAATTGCTGGGCAAATTTCAAGACTTTTTCAGGAATTCAAGACTCTGTACGAATTACTATCCAGGAAATAAGCATAGTAAAATGTAAATTTCCTTCAAAATAGCCTGCGTAGCTGGCGGTATTGTGTACTAGGCAAGGGAGATTTGGCGGCGGAGCCGCTGTACCAGTCGAGTGAGAGTTGGCGGCGGAGCCGCAAGAAATTTCAAACGCCTCGTCCCCACTCCTTTTTTTGGATCGCGGCTCTGCCGCCAAAACTTGAATCACACAATACCGCCAGCTGCGCAGGCTACCTTCAAATGGAAGCTTGTTTCTTGACAGTTTCAGATACAAAGGGATGTTTATTTGAGAAGATATTTCTTATAGCAGTAACTTACTTATGCTGTTAGGCAATAGTTTGGCTGTTTCTCTTTGCATAATGTGTGAGATCTTCTACTATCTCCTCCAGGCCTACAATGCCAAAACAGCGGAGCTACTACACCGCTTCTTTTCAAGGGTTATGTGCATCTGCTTTTCAACGTTATGATTGACATCATTTGTAATATTAACAGCAAACATCTTTCAAATTTGGTCAACACTAGCTAATTAAGAAGAATTAGTCCTGGGATTTTAGTTAATCAGAAACAGAAATGTTTTGAATGGATAGCATAACTAGTTACTGGATCTAAGGTGTGTCCTGCTTGTTTAATGGCTTGTGAGATCTTGAGTATTGTGTGAAGAGTGTTCCATAAGGTCTAAAATGGTTTAGTTCCCAGTGTTTTCAAAGATACATACTTATTACAGTGCAATCACTCTCTTTGCTGAAAGCGCTAATTTCAATTATTATTATTATTATTTATTTATTTTTCAGTGGCTGGCAGAGTGCTTTAATTTACAAAACAGTAATTCAGACATTCACAGGAAAGCCCTCATTGAAAAAAGCACAACATTCACTCTGTAAGACAATACTGTAAACTATTTATTGACAAACGGAATCTACCTAAAACATTCTCTATTGATAATAATGTTATTTTACATGTTTAAGAAAAAGAAATCAAATGAGGAGTAGAGTCTTGTTATTTACAGTTCATAACTAACATAATCAATAAAACATGTACATAATTGAAAACATGTACATATTTGAACAATTGTTGAAGTTTGGTATCACTTGAGTGGTGCTATAAGAGATTTAACAAGAAAGGATTTACCACTGAGTTTCAATGAGAATTTAACTGCAATGATGACAAAACATCATCAGTTCCTTCCTTTCTCTGAACTGTTAATGAGTTTGAAAAAATGGGTCAAATATTTGGGAACTTGCAATGGTGATGGCAAAGAGAATGACTTCAAAATTAAAGAGTCAATAAGCAAAACTAAAACTTTGTGCACGAATCATACCTGCTTGTAAATTTTATTGCCATCATGCCCCAGCTACACAACCACAACATGAAAATTCCTATTTGTGAATATAAACTTGAGACAATGAATTTCCTTCATCTTTCTGAATTTGGATGCAGTCCCTAAAAATTCAACTCCAGGAAAATTTTTTACTACATTATTTTGACGCATTGAATAGTTACAAGTAATAGCCACAAAGAAAGAACATGAATTCACTTTTACACTGTAGTTGCATCTGTCATTACTTAACCCTTTAAACCCTAATATCAGCATGTATATTACCCCCATGTTTCCAATAAATTTCCTATGATATTGATAAGGAGAAGTCAGGAGAATTTGCTCAAGAATCAAGACCTTCAAACTTGCTGATCTCTTTTGTCTCACTACCTTTATGCTTGATTGGAAGGTGTTACCATAAGGAGAAACTAGAGGTCAGTCACTCTTAGTGGTTAAAGGGTTGAGGTTGCCATTAAATAAATAGAGTCATCATATATATATCTAAACCACACCAAAATGTACAATCTTGAGGTTGCCAGCAGTGCTTTCATGCTGATCAACAGGGTCAAGATCCAACTGTGAAGACAGAAAAAATAAACATAAAACAATGAAACAGAATATCTGCACAAGTTAAAAAGGAGTGAAATACCAAATCACTTGTACTAATTTCTTTACCTTAATTATTTCATATCTATTCTAGTAATAGTGTTTTTCTTTTACATTAATGCTTTATCTTTATAATTCAGCATTAATAAAAGAAAAATAACTTACCCCATCAACTGACTATGAGGAAAATAACAAGTGATGGATAAATGACAAGCACAACAAGACTACGGGTGGATTCTGTTGGGACGATCTAGGTCAGGATCAGTGATCCAAGTTCACTCAGATCATGGCACATCAAAGAGCTGATGAATCTTTGCCTAGGACAGATTGATGTGCTATGATCTGAGTGATCTTGAATCACTGATCCTGATCAGGATCATTCAAATGGAACACACCCCAAGTTTTTCACAATAGCGTTTTTCAGAACTAGTTCACTTACAGTGTGAGCACACAAACCAAGGCCACCCAGACAAAATCTTGAGTCAATTTTTGAAATTAGCCAATCACAGGTCAGGACCAGTGCAAAATATGTCACAAACCATTTTTCCAAAGGATATAAAATATGAATAAGCTAAGGAATTGTGATGTTGGTATAAGTCAAGCTGAAAAATGTTTTGACATTGTCTGGGTTGGCTGGAATCACAGCCAGCAGTAAAGAAATTTTGAACAATCCGAACTAAAGGCAATGGCCACTCATTTCATGGCAAATGGCACACAGCGAGTGAACCACAGTTTCCATGCAGAGATCATTTTTATTTGCTTGAATGTCCATATAAACGTCTTCACATAGTAATTTCTATCTTTCTTTCCTGCTTAATTCCAATTTGAGAGCGGTTCTTTGTAGAATCTGAAGTTTTAAAGGACTGGCCAGTTATGATTTGCTGTTTGTTCACTCTGCCATAACATTTGTGTCTCAAGAAAATGACAATACTATTACAATACTATAGAGCAGAGAACAGGGCGATGGCAAAGGTACTTAGAGCCAAATTTGTTATATCGCGCTGCGTGTTTGCAAACTTTTTTTCTGTTCTGTCAACCACCTTAGCAGACCTCCTAGGAAACACATGTTTACTTCAGCGAGTTGAAAAGGTCATGGTTTGTGATTAGTGGATTTCAATCCATGTTGTTTGTTTCCGTGTTTCATTCATGTCTCCTCAACGATTGTCTCACATTTAGGGACATCTAAAGAACGAAGACTGTTCAACAGACGGAAAGCTGGTGATTTAACTCAAATTAATATCATACGGCACTCATCCTCATGGACAACGAACGCTTTTCATTCAACTGTTCAAAGTACTTTCTTTATTATTGTTTTTTTTACGTCACCTCTGATGTTTCACCAATTACATAGTTCCAACCCCCAGTTTTAAACCACAACCAACAATCCTCATGAAGGAGTAGCGCTCAGTGTCAGGATCAGTAACCAAATCTTCCTATTTCACGTCCACACTTATACAACACAAAATTTTTGTTAGAAACTGACACCTTCATTTACCAGTGTACCATTAGGTACTCTGTCTTAGTATTGATGTATCTAGAGTTACAGGATATTTTTAGTTTAATGTTTCAGTTAATCAAAACCAAAAAATCTCATTTGAATATCGTTATCCTGTCCCTCATGGCCTTTCATGGCCTCCCAAACCTTAATCTCATACCCAGACCTCTTATTGATCAAGCTGAAGGCAAGATCTGGTCAAATCCGACTTTGTACCCGTGATTGCCTGTCAGGAATGTGACAGGCAATGAAAGCGCGCATGCTCAAAGTAAGTCCTCAATTTTTGATGTGTTAATAAACAAATCTGATAGGGCCATGAAGTTTTTTCTCACAAAATGTGGTTATATGTACATCCTACAAGTAAGTATGAACCAACTAATTTTATGTTGTTTTTGTTCTTTTTTACCATCAAATTCAACATGACAGTTAGTTTGAACTCAATTAACACAGTGCACCAAAACCTCAAAGCAGTATACATCAACTTCTATGAGAAAATTTTTTTAATCCTCTTCAAAAGTCTTGATAGACACAGAGAGAGAGTTTTAAAAGGTCTCAACAGATAAGATAAAAATTGGTTTTACAAGTTATATTGAGAAGGAAAATTACTTCTTTTATTAGTGAAAATATTCATTTGAACAGAACTAAAGGCTGCAAAAAGAATAAATGGCACATGCCAAAGCGTGCGCAGATGACAACACTCATATCATTCGCACACAGTCTAGCCAATCAAAAAAAGTGAATTTTCTTACTTGGCCAGATCTCACCTTCAGCTTCGTCAACAAGAGATCTGGGTAGAAGATTACCCTCCGACCCAAACAACAACAGTTACACTTTGGGACACTTAAAAGGTGGAACCCATACGGACCCCCTCTCTCCCTCAATAGTCATAAATTATTATTCTCTTACAAAATACGCCAAATGAGAGTTGGAAAATGATTGTCAGAACATTGGAATCGAATTCTTAAAGAGGAAAATACTGGGAGCCAGCTCACTTTAATCTCCTCACCACCAAAAAGGAAAAGAAGGAAAAATAACACCGTACTAACAATTGGCTTCTGACTAAGATAGAAAGCCAAAAGTAACAAGATTTGCAGAGATTTCTGAATCTCATGGCTATACTGTTAGTGGCAAACTAACCGTAAAACATTATGTTTTCCTTTTTATTGTTACCGGTCTATACATTAGGGATGCCTCCCCCCAATAAAAAGGGGTTCGAAGGGGGAGATCATGGACCGCCCCGAGTGGTATGGTCCAGTGCTGACCCAGCCCAATAGAGGGTCTGTGGCTTTTCCCCAAGATAATAGTAATGATAGTACTGCTGACGTGAGGGCAAAACGCCAGCTCCACGTATGCATGTATGTGTTGGCTGTAAACGAACAGCTGTCGGCAGTTTACTATGCAACCCTACTATGGAGCCATTCTTTGCCTCTTCAGGTAACACTTCTCCATGCAGGGTACGTGAAGGTACAGAGATGGAGGAGAAGAGTAAGATGAGCTGCATAGGAGACTATATGGAGGTGGGATTACTAAGTGACTGGAATATCACAAAATATCAATACTTGGTAGAGATACGGACAAGCTTTCTGTTGAACAGTTTTCGTAAAAAAGACCTATTGAGGAAGTTCCTAGTAAGTGAGCTAAAGAAGATAATGACAATGTCAGCTATATTCTAGCTTTTGCTTTTTTTATTATTATAATCATTATGGTGGTTTTGTTTTGTCGTCTCGGCCGTTTTGCTTGTTTTGGTGATTTCGTTTTGGTCATTACAGCCATTTCGCTCATTTTGATGGTTTTGTTTTGTTGTTTCGGGTTTTAGTACACGCCAATTTTGTCAGAGTGGCCTCAGTTTGTGTGGTTGCACTGTAAATCATCATGGATACAATATTCATTTTTTTAATAAATGTTATCAATTCATTTTCTAAGAAATACATTATTTTTAATCACCTCATCAGTGTCTTGTCCTGAATAGTGAGCTAAAAAAGGAAAAGTTAAATGATAAAATGAAACTAACTTCTGATGAAGTGGGCAGACTGAGGTATTTAGAAAGATGCTTTAATGATCTCCCATTTTTTTCTGCCATTTTTCGTTTGTGCGCTACTTGCCCGCTTTTTTTTCTCATATTTGCAGTGATTGAGACCCTAGTACAGGCTAGATGTTAAGACTTTATTTTCCATTTAAAATGAAGCATATATTCTTGTGCTATCTTTGGATAAAAAGCAAGACTCAGCATCACAATTTTATTGTTTTAACCCTTGCAATAATGCACATCAAGCACCATATTTTAGACTTTAAGCTCTTAATGTTACCCATCAAGGCCAGCTAAACTGCAGAATTGCTGACTTTTGAACAAAATAAGTTTATTAAAGTCTGCTTAAATATTTCTGGTGCTTGGGGTGAGACTGTGTTAATGGAAATGGATAATGTAACCCCTCTGATGCTCATGCTTTCAAAAACATGTCCTCTCGCAACCAACTACATGTATCATGGACACTAACTCAGTGAAGACCAAGGGTGTCTGCAATAATAGAATAAGTTATTGACTCACTTCTTTGAGGTCCTTGTAACATTAATATAGCTCCATCATCATCTTCTTCACCTAAAGGCATGAGATCTTGAGGGGAAAGTGTGTGATTTTGTATGTAGACATACTCATCACCATGGTAAACAGCTCCTCCTCTGGTCCTTTCACTATTGGCTATGTTGTCTTCTTCTGTGTATGACAGGTCATCTTCATCATCATAAGATTCACCAGTGTCTATAACAGAAAAGAATTCCAATCAATGCCAAGGTCACAGTTTCTAATTAACATTTGACTAAGAAACTTCTAGAATGGAGTTAAACTTCCCTTAGATGAAAATGTTGGGACACCATGCATGCAACAACCTAAGGGCCATAAAAATCTGCTTGTGTTAACAAATGGGGGTACTCCAGAAGCTCTGGCAAAAAATTGCAGTCTAGTTGTGATGGAAGATCCAACTACTCACACTATTATTTTTGGGAGGAACACTATATCTGCCTTTTGTTTCTCAACACTTTTGTTCACTAAAAACACGCATAAACTAATTAAAGCAAAAGTTGGTAAATAGGCCACCCTCATGGCTAAAATCCTTCCCCTGGTCAATCAAAATGCACTGAAATGCACTTTTCTGGGCCTTTACAATTACAATTGGACCCCTGCAAATGGAGGCAGTGGGGTCACCTGGCCTTCTATACGACCCCCACCTCGTGCCTTTGAATCTAGTCTATTGCCACCTCATTATAATTATAATAATTTTCTCCCTCAACTTTAAGTTTCCTGGAGGATACTAAGCCAGGTTTTGAAGAAAAGAAAATGACTGAGTATATTTATTTGCTGAGCAAAAGGAATGTGCTTATGGTCATAGGGCAGGTTTCCATATAAAGGAGTAAAGACAACTACCCACCTGACGTAAGAGGTTCATTATCAATTTGAATTGCTCTCTGTTTTGCTACTTCAGCTAGAGGATAATTACCAATGTCACATGCTAGATAGTGAATATCCTAAAAGATTTAAGCAACAAGATATTCTGATTGGTTGGTTAGAATATGTGTGGTGCAGTCAAAATGTTGCCGCACTGTTCAGCTGCTTAGTGAAAGGTCATAGAGTCTGCATTAGAGCCAAGTTGGAATAGGAATATTTGGGCTCCACCCATCTGAGGGGGATGCAAGTCTATTGCAGGTTTACCTCCCAGCCAGAGCATTAAATTCACTGGTGCCTACTAACACTTGGGTGGTGTGGGAGTAAAAGAGGAAAGTGTCTCACCCAAGAACAATCTAATGACCCAAGTCAGGGTCCAAATTTGTTGGTTGTTGCAAAACACCAACAGACAAAGCTCTGTACATCTGTACATTTGGGTAAAACAATAATGCTCAGAATATTTTGTACACAATAAAACTGCAGAAAAATTAATCTGAGTGAGACCGTTGCATATAAAATTATTTCCCTAATTTCTTTTGATTCATTGATTCTAAATTTTGTATGCTAATATATGGCATTTTTGATGGCGTTACAAGAAAAAACCAGCAATCAAATATTAAATGCTTCTTTATTAATTGATATTTAACTAAAAAGAGTAGGTGGTAGTCCAGCACTACAATAATTGATTATCACCATTCATTGGCAATTTTTACTCTGAATTGTATTCTTGAGATTTAAATACACTTTTAGATATTTTTTGGTGAAATCATTATCAGCAATTGTACTGAGGATAGTTTAATTAATATAAACTAGAATTTGATCTATTGTCTTTGAAGGTATATTGTGTCTGAGTACTTTTGATAGTGGAAATAAATGAAACATCTCGCTTCTTTGTAAAGCTTTACATAGACTTTGTTTACAACCTACATAAATAAAAGGCTATTGTTGAACAATGAAAGGAGGCTTTTCAGCTTTATAAGCAATACCACTGAAAAAAAAAAAAATTGGAGAACAACTTACCATGAAGAGGTCTTTAGCTCCAATGTCTACAGCCAATAAAAAGGCTTTCTCAAACCTCTTATATCTACAGTTAACAAACATGAAGTCAGCTAAAAACGTTCTAATATAATCAAGAAATTAAGCTAGATGAAATATTAACATTAAGGCATTGCTGACATTACTCTCAGTGGCTCATTCTAATAATTAATATTTGTAATTAGTCAATGGAAGGCAATGAAAAGATGATGGTGGTTTATTGTGACCTTTATACCAACACAGTTTCCATAATACTGTTAATAAAAGTTAATTAATTTATTTCAGTCACTGCATATTTTAAATAAGGGAAACAAAAGTAGTCGGGGAGTACGGCAGAATTACAAAGAACTGTATATGGCAATAATACAAGTAGTGCTTATTAACATTAATAAGTGCAATAATTATCATTTTTAATAAGGAAGGGTTTTGAAGGGGTTTGTAAAGGCATGTTCTCGATTTTATGCATGGATTTCTTCATTGCTTATCAAGCCAGAGTTACATAGCAGAACTTGGGAACTATCGACGTGAATCAACGTTTTTTTGGTTATTGAATCAAGTTTCTCTTAATATTATTTGAAGAACATCCTTTCACATTTATAAAACTATTCATAGCAGTAAACTTTACAGCGCGCTATTAATTTTAATATCAATAATTTTATAACAATACTAAAATCATAAACTGGTGTCGTCACGGCGTGAAGACTTAATTAGAATAGCGCTTATTACAAAGGAAGACGTTAATTGAAACAAAAAATCGCACATTAAAATGCTTAAAATGGCATTACTCGACTGTGCGATCAATGAAAAATTTTGCAGTGTTGACAGAGGACGGGCATTTGCCCTTTTTTTTCGTCCCCACCCCCGGGAATTTGCCATCCAAGGCAAAAAAATTGCCAATGCTCGGGGGTCAGCCTGGGAGGGGGGGGAGGGGGTTGGGCCCAGCTGGGTCAAATTGACTGATGCATTAATTACCAATCTTGACCTCTACTGCTTCAAGAAAGTGCCCCAGGAAAAGTGCTTAATATAATTATAGTTGGAGTATAGCAAATTTGAGCCTCTTTCAATGGCACCAAAATGGAAAGCAAAAGAAGCCTCTTAGCTATACTTGTAATTGAGAGGGTGCAGCTTATATAATGAGTGCTTGTTTGTATATAATGATAATATGATAAATGATTTCAGATTAACACCTGAGTAAGTTGTGAAAGAACCTTCTGGAAAGCTTGCTGATTGGCTCTCTGAACTCCAACACTGTAACATCTGATAATGGTCGACTGGGAGCATAGAAACTTCCCAGTGCCTCTTCTAAAAGACCTAAAGTTAATGATGGATATAACAGAGCAGTATATAACAGTACCTGCACAAACAACATGCCCAGTGTTTCTTCAGAAACAACAACTGAGAGCATTATTATGAAGATTTTTTTAATACACCATTGATGTAATAAAATCAAATACGTATGACTCAAATTAATGTGAAAGATGAAGTTAATCTTTCAAAAGAACAATACAAACTAATTAAAATTCAATAATACTTTCAAACCAAGAGAATTAATGTAAAGTTATAGCTATACAACATTTCAAGGCGACTTAACGAATTTGACAGCTTATTAGAGTAAACGACAAAAAAATTGAAAAAAAAGATTAGATATTTCTGTACCAAACATGGTTGGATGTGTGAGAATTAAGAGTAGGAAAAATATTTTGTTCACACCTTCTCTCTCTGAATTAAGTGGAAGTTTCAAAAGGTAGTTCATTATGAGCATTAAGCAGGCAAAACATGCTCTACCCTCTGTGTTCCAGTTCATACTATTAAGAAAGTTGACTGCCTGTTAAAGCAAAAATACAGTCAAATCACTGAACTTTATCTTAATACCCCAATTTCCTGTCCAAGAATTAAGCTTAGTGTAATATATAAAAACATCACTACAATTTAATTAACAGAGACTTGAACAAATTATGATCAACCTCACAAATGCCTACTCAACCGAAGACAACATTCCTTTCCCAAGCTTAGCCAATCACATTGTACTTACAAAATTTTGGAAAGTTGACCTTGACCGCAGGGGAATCTGATAATTACTTGATCTGCATGAAACACTGGGAAAGCTTTCTGACCTCTAATACACGTCAGATTCAAATTAAAGCAGCAAAAGTAAGATTTAGTCAAATTTTAGAATACCTCATGCACTGCATAACCTTAGCAAACGAAAGAAAAGAAGGAAAACTCTAGGGTCACGTTTTAGTCGTGTTTAGCCTGTCAACACTTTATTTCACAACTGTTAATTGGTCACTTACCACGGAAATAAAACAATGGGAAAGGAATGTTGTTTTCGGTTGAGCAGGCATTTGTGGGGATCAAGGGATGAAAAATGAGCTCCCCTAAAAATGCCTGCATGGGAGGCTGCCTCTTGTGGGAACTGGTCAAACACCACTGAGTTGAGAATCTCAGAGTCCCGCGTCAAACTGGGATTCAAACTAAGCTGTGTAAATCTTCATTAAATGATATTCAACCACCAAAAATATAATCACTTAAATGGACAAGGATAGCACATGTCAGTGGAAAGCTATCGCTCTGTATGAAGGCAAATGGAATGTAACTTCAGGGCTCAAAGTTAGCGACTAACTGGTCGCATATGCGACTGGATTTTTGGTTGTGCGCCTAAAAATTCATGTGTAATCGCACCTGTGCGCCGTAAAACCCAAAGCACAGTGCGAATGACTTACTTCCGACTATACTTACGAACTCGAACTAGAAAGACGGTGTATTTTTAATTGGTCTTTTCTCCCAATGGATTCTACGAACTCGAATGTTCTTTTTCGTTTCGATGTTTTACTCCATCCCAGACTCTTCTGTTTTGTAATAAACACCGCTGACACATGCAAATATATGCTACGAACAAAACATGTACTTTTTGCGCAATGGACGATCATGTCGAACGTTCAGTTTTAACGTAAATCAAAACAAAAACAGTGCGGATTAAGAGCCTTTTTTCCAGTTAAGAAAGTTTTTTAAGTCGTATTCCAGTTACATGTAAGTCATTGCCCATTTAACAAATTCATTAAAGATTAATTTTCATTCTCGTTCAACACACTCATTGTTGTCAGTTTTGAATTGTTTTTCAAGTGTAAGTTTTCTTTAGTCACAACTGTACTGTCAAAAGAGAAATTAGTATTAAAAATCACAGTGGTATTACTGCGTAGTAAATGGGCTGTGTCTTATCAACCACAGGACAGGACGACAAATAAACGTGGCACTGTTAAGCTTTTTAATTTTTCTTTTGAAATAGATGCTCCCAACATTATAAGCTGTGCTCCTAAAATTTTCAGCTGTGCGCCTAAAAATTTACATCTGGTAGCACAAGTGCTGCCAAACTCAAATTTAAACTTCAGTGTATCACATATCCCATAGTGTTACAGAGCTATATTCATTTATGGCAGCTAGAAATTATTAATTACCATCATGAACACCCTTACTCTGAAAACTAATAAGAATAAAGTTGCTGTACCCCATATCTTGAGGAGTGTTACAGAGCAATATACATGTATGGCAGATTGGGCAATTCCAGAAAATATCCATACCCAACCACGGACGGCTTCCATGTTTTAACCCCCCCTTGCCTTCGGAAATTCCAAAATGCGCTACCCCCCCATGCCCTCAGAATTCCATAGTCGTGAACCCCCCCTCCCCTTCAGAATTTCCGGTTTTTTTTGGAAGTACATTTTCGACTTAGCAACGCCTATAAGAACAAACGAACATGAATTTATGCCTCCTCAAGGCTGTGATCTAGCGGCGCCAGGTGACAAGCTTTACTCTTCAGTGACAAGAAAAACCTACGCTAGTTGCCAGGCCGTGCAAACTCCTTTTTAAGTCCGAATTTGGCCATAAAAATAAACACCACTTAAGGTAATTTTACTCCTCTTTGTTTTCTTGTGCTGTTTTGACGTTTACAAAGGAAAATAGCTCAAACAGACTGTTAAAATCTTTTGGCGGTCAAATATACCGTCGAGTCGTGTTGCGTCCTTTTATACGTCATGTAGTGCGCACGAAAAGCGTTCTAATCTGACAGGCGTTCCTTGGAAGTGAGGGACTGGTGCGAGTTTTTTACTGGTATATACTTCATGGTAGAAAGCCACAAGTGCACCGGTAGTATACACTCTGTGTATTATGTAGTATTGTGTCTTCTCCCTAATAGCTAGTGGTAGTTACTAGTAGTTACTAGTAGTTACTAGTAGTTACTGGTAGTTACTAGTAGTTACTAGTAGTTACTGGTAGTTACTAGTAGTTACTAGTAGTTACTGGTAGTTACTAGTAGTTACTAGTAGTTACTGGTAGTTACTAGTAGTTACTGGTAGTTACTAGTAGTTACTAGTAGTTACTGGTAGTTACTAGTAGTTACTAGTAGTTACTAGTAGTTACTGGTAGTTACTAGTAGTTAGTAGTAGTTACTAGTAGTTACTGGTAGTTACTAGTAGTTACTAGTAGTTACTGGTAGTTACTAGTAGTTAATAGTAGTTACTGGTAGTTACTGGTAGTTACTGGTACTTACTAGTAGTTACTGGTAGTTACCGGTAGTTACTAGTAGTTACTAGTAGTTACTGGTACTTACTAGTAGTTACTAGTAGTTACTGGTAGTTACTAGTAGTTACTGGTAATTACTAGTAGTTACTAGTAGTTACTGGTAGTTACTAGTAGTTACTAGTAGTTACTAGTAGTTACTAGTAGTTAGTAGTAGTTACTGGTAGTTACTAGTAGTTACTATAGTAGTTACTAGTAGTTACTGGTAGTTACTAGTAGTTACTGGTAGTTACTAGTAGTTAGTAGTAGTTACTGGTAGTTACTAGTAGTTACTGGTAGTTACTGGTAGTTACTAGTAGTTAGTAGTAGTTACTAGTAGTTACCAGTAGTTACTAGTAGTTACTGGTAGTTACTAGTAGTTACTAGTAGTTACTGGTAGTTACTAGTAGTTACTAGTAGTTAGTGGTAGTTACTAGTAGTTACTAGTAGTTACTAGTAGTTACTGGTAGTTACTAGTAGTTACTGGTAGTTAGTGGTAGTTACTAGTAGTTAGTAGTAGTTACTAGTAGTTACTAGTAGTTACTGGTAGTTACTAGTAGTTACTGGTAGTTACTAGTAGTTACTAGTAGTTAGTAGTAGTTACTAGTAGTTACTAGTAGTTACTAGTAGTTACTGGTAGTTACTAGTAGTTACTAGTAGTTACTAGTAGTTAGTGGTAGTTACTAGTAGTTACTAGTAGTTACTAGTAGTTACTGGTAGTTACTAGTAGTTACTGGTAGTTACTAGTAGTTAGTAGTAGTTTCTGGTAGTTACTGGTAGTTACTAGTAGTTACTGGTAGTTACTAGTAGTTAGTAGTATTTAGTGGTAGTTACTGGTAGTTACTAGTAGTTACTAGTAGTTACTGGTAGTTACTAGTAGTTACTAGTAGTTACCGGTAGTTACTAGTAGTTACTAGTAGTTACTGGTAGTTACTAGTAATTATTAGTAGTTACTGGTAGTTACTAGTAGTTACTAGTAGTTACTGGTAGTTACTAGTAGTTACTAGTAGTTACTAGTAGTTACTGGTAGTTACTAGTAGTTAATAGTAGTTACTGGTAGTTACTGGTACTTACTAGTAGTTACTGGAAGTTACCGGTAGTTACTAGTAGTTACTAGTAGTTACTGGTAGTTACTAGTAGTTACTAGTAGTTACTGGTAGTTACTAGTAGTTACTAGTAGTTACTAGTAGTTAGTAGTAGTTACTGGTAGTTACTGGTAGTTACTAGTAGTTACTAGTAGTTACTGGTAGTTACTAGTAGTTACTAGTAGTTACTGGTAGTTACTAGTAGTTACTAGTAGTTACTGCTAGTTACTAGTAGTTAGTAGTAGTTACTGGTAGTTACTGGTAGTTACTAGTAGTTACTAGTAGTTACTGGTAGTTACTAGTAGTTACTAGTAGTTACTAGTAGTTACTGGTATTTACTAGTAGTTACTAGTAGTTACTGGTAGTTACTGGTAGTTACTAGTAGTTACTGGTAGTTACTAGTAGTTACTAGTAGTTACTGGTAGTTACTAGTAGTTAGTAGTAGTTACTGGTAGTTACTGGTAGTTACTAGTAGTTACTAGTAGTTACTGGTAGTTACTAGTAGTCACTGGTAGTTACTAGTAGTTAGTAGTAGTTGCTGGTAGTTACTGGTAGTTATTAGTAGTTACTAGTAGTTACTAGTAGTTACTGGTAGTTACTAGTAGTTACTAGTAGTTACCAGTAGTTACTGGTAGTTACTGGTAGTTACTAGTAGTTACTGGTAGTTTCTAGTAGTTACTGGTAGTTACTAGTAGTTAGTTAAGTAGTTACTGGTACTTACTAGTAGTTACTAGTAGTTACTGGTAGTTACTAGTAGTTACTAGTAGTTACTGGTAGTTACTAGTAGTTACTAGTAGTTACTGGTAGTTACTAGTAGTTACTGGTAGTTACTAGTAGTTACTAGTAGTTGATGGTAGTTTTTGGTATTTACTAGTAGTTAGTGGTAGTTATTAGTAGTTACTAGTAGTTACTGGTAGTTACTGGTAGTTACTAGTAGTTACTAGTAGTTACTGGTAGTTACTAGTAGTTACTAGTAGTTACTGGTAGTTACTAGTAGTTACTAGTAGTTACTGGTAGTTACTAGTAGTTACTGGTAGTTACTAGTAGTTACTAGTAGTTACTGGTAGTTACTAGTAGTTACTAGTAGTTGATGGTAGTTTTTGGTATTTACTAGTAGTTAGTGGTAGTTATTAGTAGTTACTAGTATTTACTGGTAGTTACTAGTAATTGTCGGTCGTTACTAGTAGTTACTGGTAGTAACTAGTAGTTACTGGTAGTTACTGGTAGTTACTAGTAGTTACTAGTAGTTACTGGTAGTTACTAGTAGTTACTAGTAGTTACTGGTAGTTACTAGTAGTTAGTAGTAGTTACTGGTAGTTACTGGTAGTTACTAGTAGTTACTAGTAGTTACTGGTAGTTACTAGTAGTTACTAGTAGTTACTGGTAGTTACTAGTAGTTCCTAGTAGTTATCGGTAGTTACTGGTAGTTACTAGTAGTTACTGGTAGTTACTAGTAGTTACTGGTAGTTACTAGTAGTTGTCGGTAGTTACTAGTAGTTACTAGTTGTTAATAGTAGTTCTTGGTATTTACTAGTAGTTATTGGTAGTTATACGTAGTTACTGGTAGTTACTAGTAGTTGTCGGTAGTTACTAGTAGTTACTGGTAGTTTCTAGTAGTTGTCGATAGTTACTGGTAGTTGGTTGATGGTATAAGTTATTGGTATTTACTAGTAGTTGCTGGTAGTTACTAGTAGTTGCTGGTAGTTTCTAATAGTTGCCGGTAATTACTGATTAGTCGACTGTTTTTATTTGCTTGGACTATTTCTATTGGCGCTGTTGAAGTGAGCGTCTAGTAATATAACAGAACACTTAATGTTAGGTCCCCGAAAAACAGTTAGTTATATTTTTCGTCAAGTTATGATGTTTCCCTTGTTGACCTCGTCTCGGGAAACATTAGGACTCTCGGCGTTCTCAATTCCTCTCCTTTAGGTTCCGTCAATGTGGCATGAAAGCAATGTTCACACAAAGCAATCACTTTAAGTAGACTTTATTTGTGAAAGTTTTTCTTAAACTTGATATGCCTTTACACAGAATGACAGGTTGGCTCATACATTCCATTTAAAGTGACATGTATTTCATTCTCAATATCATAACTCTTTTCCTTTAATTTTATTTCTACTAATTTATAAAATCATCCCTTAATGATGTCGCTGACATAGTCATTTTATAAATTAGTAGAAATAAAATTAAAGGCAAAGAGTTACGACATTGAGAATGAAATACATGTCACTTTAAATGTATAAAACCAATGGGCTAACAAAAACATATCAAGCTAAGAATAAACTTTCTGCAAATAAAAACTCTACTAAAAATGACAACAATATTTGTTAATACTGCTGGTGACTGCTGGTGACTGCCAGCAGCTGCCGGTGACTGCTACCACGGCGGCTATAGTGACTGCCGGTGAAGTGCTGGTGATTGCCGGTGACTGCTGTTGGCAATGATGACTGCTATCGGCTACTGGTAAGCTGCGGTGACTGCCATCGACACTGGTGACTGCTGGTGGCTGCGGAATGACTGCCTGACTGCCGGTGACTTCCTGATGACTGCCAGTAACTGCTGGTGACTGCCGGTGACTGCTGGTGGCGGCTGCAGGCGGCTGCCGGTGACTGCCGGGCGGTGGTGCCGGTGACTGCTGATAACCTACCGACAATGACTGCCGGTGACTGCTGGTGGCACCAACAACTGCTGGTGACACCGGTGACTGCTGGGTGACTGCCGGTGGGGTACTAATGTTACCAGTAACTAGCGGTAACTATTAGTAACTACTGGTGACTGCCGGTGACTGCTGGCGGCTGCCGGTAACTGCTGGTGACTTCCGGTGACTGCTTCTGAAACTGCGGTGACTGCCGTAATCAATAACTACTAGTAACTTACCGGTAACTGCCAGTAAACCTGCCGGTGGCAACTACCAGTAACTACTAGTAAATGCTGATGACTACCAGTAACTACTAATAACTACTGGTAACTACTAGTAACTACCACTAACTACTGCTGGTGACTGCCGGTAACTACTAGTGACTGCCAGTAGCTTACTAATAACTGCCGGTGACTGCCGGTGACTGCTGGTGGCTGCTGACTGGTGACTGCTGGTGACTGCCGGTGACTGCTGGTGACTGCTGGTGACTGCTGGTGGGCTGCTGGTGACTGCCGGTGACTGCTGGTGACTGCTGGTGACTGCCGGTGACTGCTGCTGACTGCCGGTGGCTGCTGGTGACTGCCGGTGACTGCCGGTGACTACTGAGTGCCTGCTGGTGACTGCTGGTGACTGCCGGTGACTGCCGGTGGCTGCTGGTGGCTGCTGGTGACTGCGGTGACTGCTGGTGACTGCCGGTGACTACTGGTGACTGCCAGTGACTGCCGGTGACTGCCGGTGGCTGCCGGTGACTGCTGGTGACTGCTGGTGACTACTGGTGACTGCCGGTGACTGCTGGTGACTGCTGCCTGACTGCTAGTGACTACCGGTGACTACTGGGTACTGGTGACTGCCGGTGACTGCTGGTGACTGCCGGTGGACTGCTGGCTGACTGCCGGTGACTGCCGAAAGTGCTGGTGACTGCTGGTGACTGCCGGTGACTGCTGGTGACTGCCGGTGACTGCCGGTGACTGCTGCTGGCTGACTGCTGGACTGGCACTGGTGACTGCCGGTGACTGCTGGTGACTGCTGGTGACTGCTGGTGACTGCCGGTGACTGCCGGTGACTGCTGGTGACTGCCGGTGACTGCTGGTGACTGCTGGTGACTGCCGGTGACTGCCGATGACTGCTGCTGGTGACGGTGACTGCTGGTGACTGCCGGTGACTGCTGGTGACTGCTGGTGACTGCCGGTGACTGCTGGTGCCTGCTGCCGGTGACTGCCACTGCTGCTAGGTAGGTGATTGACTGCTATTGACTGCTGGTGACTGCCGGTGACTGCTGGTGACTGCTGGTGACTGCCGGTGACTGCTGGTGCAACTGCCGGTGACTGCTGGTGACTGCTGGTGACTGCCGGTGGCTGCGGTGACTGCTGCTGCTACTACTGGTGACTGCCGGTAACTACTAGTAACTACTAGTAACTACTAGTAACTACCAGTAACTACTAGTAACTACTAGTAACTACCAGTAACTACTACTAACTACTAGTAACTACCAGTAACTACTAGTAACTACCAGTAACTACTAGTAACTACTAGTAACTACCAGTAACTACCAGTAACTACTAGTAACTACTAGTAACTACCAGTAAATAATAGTAACTACCAGTAACTACTAGTAACTACCAGCAATTACCAGTGACTACTAGTAACTACCAGTAACTACTAGTAACTACCAGTAACTACTACTAACTACTAGTAACTACCAGTAACTACCAGTAACTACTAGTAACTACCAGTAACTACCAGTAACTACTAGTAACTACTAGTAACTACTAGTAACTACCAGTAACTACCAGTAACTACTAGTAACTACTAGTAACCCTTACCAAAATTAGAGCACTGATAGTATACTTTTTGTAGACAAATAGTATACACCGTATGTATTACATTGCCATGGTGTACATTTTTAGTATACATCAAATATACATCAAGCAAGATTTGGCTTAGCAAAAAAAAATGATGTATACTCTTTGTATACATCACTTGCATTTAAGTAGCAATGATGTATACAACAAGTATACCTCAGGACTTTAAAGCAGCAATGACGTATACAACAAGTATACCTCAAGGCCTTCAAACAGCACTGATGTGTACAATAAGTATACATCAGTGCTGCATTGATGCCAAGTTGTATAAAAAACATCTTCATTGATTAGGAAGTAAAGCTTTGATGTATACTTTTTGTATACTTTGTATAGCATAAACAGTTTATATATAACAACATATAAATATATAGTATATGTTGTAGTTCAACTTTTCCCTGGTTTAAATTTCACATACATTACCATGCCCAAACAAAAGAAAAATTAAATTAAAGCAGGAACAAAAGTAGAAAAACAACACATATGTTGATTGAATTGAAGGGTTACCAAAAATAATTTCAGTGAAACAAACTCTAGAATACTGTTTTACATGTACCTGATTAGAGAATCTCTGAGAAATTCCAAATGCTGATGAAAGGAATACGTTTGAACAACAAGAACTGGACAAACAAGACATATCTCTAATAGATCTGTAAAACTGCAGTAATTTAAAAATTATATATTTCGCTCTTTGCAACTCATCACTCACTGGCCAATGCTTATAAAATAATATTGTCCATTGTTCATGTAAAAATTAGCATTGTGAGAAATTCAGCAACAACATCAACATTTTTGGGACTGATATGTCATACACAATCTTCGTTAAGGGGTCAATGTCATGCAATTTCGAAAGATACACAACATTATTTTGCTATAATAAAAACATTAAAAAAAGCTAGTTTTAATAAAAAAAAATTGTTTACGTGCCCTGACAGGAAAAGATGGCAGCTTTTAATAAATGGCACACATTTTCTTTTCTCTCTCAAAAATTCACTTGAAACCTACCCATTCGTGTTGCAGGATCATAATTTTGCATGTTACATGTATCTGTGACGGTGCTCTGATGGTGCTACCATGCACTTACAGTTGCAAAAAAACCACTCAAACGCTTTTAGTCTTTTTTCGTACTGATTAGGAAACATTCCCACAAAGGGAGTATTGTCATTACCACAGTCAACAAAAAAAGCATAATCGAATAATGTTGTCCACTGGAATTGCAGTGATACAATTATTGTCACTCCTGATGACTGGAACCAGGTGAGAAACAGCAGTACCAGTGTAGGGATCATTAGCAATTGCTAAAGTCTTGTTAGGTTTCAGAACTTTGACCAATGCATAAAACAGTGGCTTCCTACATTTACATGAGTTAGCACAAAATGAAGGGTTGGGGCAATGTAAATATATTTTGGAATAGAACAAAATCTGTCCAAATGAAGGTGGTGAATCCCCACTGTTGCCTTTAAATTCTATTGTAAAGTTGTTTCTCCTTGTCATGCTTTTGTATAACTTGGAGTGAATCAGTTGCTCTCAATGAGTAATCTGAAAAACTGATACACTTCTTGAACTGGCCCAATTAGGGATTCGACTACAGCTCGCTCAACAGCAGTAAAGACATAATTTTGTAAGTTGCCCACGATGCTGCAGTTGCTGTTGCCTGGAAGTTTTTCCTTTTTGGAAGCAAGGGGCGCTTTCTTGAAAGGTGTTCATAAAGTTCTTGAGCCATAGATCCACTTTCGAGGAGAGGAACCAACTCAGGTATTCTCTGTTGCACACTGACAGCTGTCACAATCTGTTCTTCCACACTTTGTGTACCATGAAATAAGCTTCTTAATTCCCCATTGAAGTCTTCAAAGCAAAAACAAGAGTGAGTCCACAGTGGACCAAGATCTCTCACTCTTTCTGTCATGTGAAGTAAACAGTGCACATTAAAAGTTTCATAGCGGGCTGCATAAAGTTCCTTTATCCTGATACAGAAATGCTTTATTAAAGCAGAGGCCTTTACAATGTCATTCGGAGAGATAGAATCCTGGAGAAGAAGGTAAATGGCTTCCACAAGGTGAAGGTAGTGCTGAAAGTACTCTTCTGGAAGAATACCATACAGACATGGAACAGAGTAGAACAACAGGAAAGTCCTTAACTCAGATGCTTTGAGATGCCCAAAGTTTGCTATCAGGCTTCTGGGAAAGGCGTGATGCAAGAAGGAGGACTAATCTTTAGGTACCTCTCTTCAATTTCTTTCATTCTTTTACAGACAGACCATGGCTCTGCTTTATATGTCTTGTCACTCCAAAGGGTAAGCAACATCTTAACCACGCCAAGTAATGTACTGTGCATATAGTCAATGGCTATTCCTCTAATGATGTCAAACTTTGGAATAAACATAAACCATGAATAGCCTTTAACCCCTTTAACACTACTTGGGATGCCCTTTTGAGCACTTTCCTTGGTAGCTTCAGCTGCAAACTTTAATGTCTGTTCATGTGTTCTTGGTTCCCCATGACCAGTTCTGAGATTTGCTTCATCAAATGGGTAAGCATGAGTGTGCCCTTTGCTACTTGTCTGCACAGTTTTGCCAGGGCTCAGGCAGTATGGGCAACCATAAAAGGCATTGAATTGACAAAACTCTTGGAAAAGGCACTTTGCTGGGGCATCAAATGTCCCTAAGAGTAAAATACAGCGAAGCAACATGTTCTTGCCATTCAGCTTTACATCAATCCCTATAAAAAAGGATCAAAAAAATCCTGACTATTCAGATGTTGACCCATAGGGTAGAAATGAGGGCAGCAGAATTTCTATAGACTTCAAAGTTAATTGATAACAGATAACACATCAAAGCATTTTGAAATTCATACATACATGTAGCTGCTAAATAATGATTGAAAATAATTTTCAATAATTTAAAGCACACATTTGTATCTACATGTATTATGCCAAATCTCCTTTAGTCAGAGTTGTAAGTTAAACCTGTGTATAACGGTCACCCTTGGGAAATGGCCAAGTGGCGTTATATACAGGTTCTCTTTAAACTCTACTGGAAGTTAATGAATAGCATCTAAGTCTAAAGGGTGACTGCATCCGTTCGCACACTAACAGGTGACCACTATATACAGGTCACCTTTACAGAAAAATATAAAGCAAAGTTTTAGGGAAGTTGTCCGGTGAGTCACTCTATAGTGACTCAATTTCCTTTGTCCCCCTTTGTAAATTATATATAGTTCGGGAGTAATAATTATGTCAAACAGCAACAGTTGTACAATGTATTTATTATGAACATTCTGAACTAATAGTATACTAGAGAGTAGCTGTGACTACAGTGTGCATATATGTACATTAGAATGTAGCAGATAAATGCATGCTTTAAGGTAATACAAAAAATGGGGACTGATTTTAAAAACATAAACCTTACCTTTGAAGAATAAATCATTTAGTGAGTTTGCGAATGGCTGCATAAATGTTTGGAAATGTGGCTTGGAGACACCGAACCAAAGCCCAGCAAACATGCGGTACTTTCTCTGCTGCCTGTAGGGACAGAAAATAAAGGGAAAGAATGAAGTTTTTTAACAAAAAAAAAAAAAAATGTGAATATGTTTTTTTAATGAAAAAAAAAAGCAAAAAGCGGTCCATTTCAAGATAGGTCAGTTACCAAGCAAAGAATGAGTTACAAACAATTCTTACTAGTTAGCAATTCTGCAAATTATCAGTGCTCATTATGATGTGTTGCAGTTAGATTAAGTGATACTCTTCTCTCACAATTTCTTTTCTCTTATTGGTTATTAACTGTGGAATTTTCTCTTTGGTAGTGGCATCATGAAGGCAAGTAGATGCTTAAACTGTGTACTTCAGTTCCACAATTAATTTATTTACATGACTATACTTTACAACCATTGTTATTTTGGTTACTTTGGTTTGACATTCTTTAATCAATACTCAAAAAAAAAAAAAAGAAATTATATATTATTTAGCAATACTATAGAAATGAAATACTCGGCTGGGGAGGAGGTTTGAAGCTGTTTAAAACGCTTACAGCACATGTTTAATCAAGGGTAAAAATTCAAGCTTTTATTACATACCTGCAATTTGGAGGCAATTCGTTGACAATAAAATAAACCGGCCATATGGAAAATTTTGAAGACCTAAAAATTGCAACTCCATCCGTGTTTATTTGCAGGGACAAATGGATCTGTGTCTTTTTGTCCTGTGTGGATGAACCCCTAAAAAATCCGTCCTCCCCAAAGTGCTTCTTATACAGTTGTCCATCAAAGATATCTTCAATGGCATCTGAGTTTTGTTTTGTCTTGTGACACGATACTGCAGAAACTCAGGTACTTCTGGCCCTAAGAAACAAAACAAATATTTGAAAACAATACATAAGAGTGAGAAAATAAATTTCACACAGAGGTTCTGTTTGACTGAGGCAAATGATAATATTTCCTGAATACATGTACATGTAACAAGACTGCAAAAAATCTTTTTCATTTAAATCTTGGAATTTTTCCTATTATTGATCACGAACTGCTAATGTTAACTGTCAATGCATTAACAAGTGATAACAACCAGTTACATATGTAACATTGTTTCAGTTTGATGAATGGTTAAAATACATGTATTGAGTGAATGCTTTAAGGCCTCTACAGACTAGATATTTAGTTGTCAAAAACGTTTTTTTTTTTTTTTTTTTTTTTGCGACAATGACAATGTTTAAGTTGTCAACAACAGCAAAATTTAGCATTTAGTTGTCAACAACCCGTCTTACACACTGCGTTTTTTTGTTGTTGATAACATTTGGTTGTCGAAAACAAAGCGTTGTCGACAACTAAATTTCTAGTCAGTGGAGGCCCTTACAGTCACTTCATTCCATCAAAAGAGCCTGGGAAAACATGAAGTACAAAGAAAAGAAAAAAGTGCGATTCTTACACCGAGGTAAACCCAAAAGAACGAGAAATCCTTTGATGTGGGGCATTATTTAGTGACAGGGGATACTTAACATGGTAGTGGATAAAGATAATGAGAAATTCTTTGTTATTTAGTATCATTTAGTAACAGGTGGGACATCTACTTAGAACGAACTGACTTGGAAGGAAGTGACCTGATACCAAAGGAATGATCTATACCTTAGCAGATAATCTACTTACTTGACAGCAATGACTGAAGCTGTGTGACTAAGGGTAGGACAATGAAGTAGGCCAGTGCACCTTTTTGGAAAAATCTACCAGACAATACTTGTTAGAACAGCAGGAGGTCTTTGTAAGCCCAATGTACTCAAAACAGCAACAACAATAATAGTGGTACTCGATAGGCTTCTTAAGCTTTCGAAAGAATCGGTTGAGAACAGCTGTCGATTTAGCAAAGCAGTTGGGTACAACAAGATGAATGTTAATTAACGTCAAAAGGTCAGCCAAAGCCAGTCCGCTCAAATTATGCCTTATGGCGAAGCTAATAATCAGCAGCAAGCTAACTGAAAAAGTAACGGGGACCCCTCGTATAAAGGGGTGTCTTGTGATAAGGATAGCTCAGTAATTTTCACGTAGTCATCTTGAGTGCTGCTTTCATTCCTATCTTCCGCTTCCGAAAGTTCATCCACGTCATTATCTTGCTCGTTCAAATCCTCATGAAACTCGCTAGATCCGTACGTTGTATCAAGCGCTGGATCTTCAGGAAAAACTTGCGAAATTTCATCACAGCTGTCTTGCTCAACTGCCGTGTTGTTCAGGAGCCCCTTTAACATTTCATCAGCGATGGAGTCTCTAGTTGGGCGGCCTTCTCTGTCATTTTCTACCTCAGCTGGCCGACCATCTTCTTTCAACAAATCAACATTATTACGGTCTTCCAGAGAGTATTCTTCGATCCCCTGAGATGCATATGAGTAGTCCAGGAACTCTGACTCAAAATGTTCAACAGTGTCGCTACAAGATACCGCATTCGTTTCTCTATCATAAGTTTTAGCTAGTTTCTGGCGATACTCTGACGTTCTGGGAACTTTCAACGACGGATGTGACAGATAAGACAGGTAAGTACCTCTTCTTTTTTCACAACTTCTAGAGTTACGTGTTTCTTTTGCATTTCCAGTCGCCATGTTGTGTTCGTATAAAAGCCGATCGACCCAGGCAGATATTACGCATGCTCAATACGTCGGCGTCTGTTTGTTTTCCTTTTGGCGGGATTTTTTGCGGCACGTTTGTCGGTGTATGTGTTAGATCTTGGCGCGAAACTTCAGTAGCTGTGAAACGTGAATTGCTTGGTTCATCAGACTCTTTTTCGACTGAACGTTTATTGTCGCTTCCCCTTTTTCGGGCAATCCAGTATCCAGGAAAATGGTGAGTACATTAAACTGTATAAAAAAACCTGAAAAACCCTAATCAGGTCACGTTTTAGTTCGTTTTTTAATAGCAATTATGGTGATAGGTAAGCTCAACGGTTCTACTTAAATCGGTGAGAAAAAATGGTAAAAGTTTACCTTCTTCATTCAGGTCGAATGCAGCGTTCAAGCCAGGGAATTGTTCTCTTAGAACTTCTTTGATACATTCGCAGCGTAAAATTCATTTTATCTTTGTGTCTGCGAACTGGAACTGATACAACTCGATCGGGCTCAGCTAGTGCATTTCAAATAAGAACGCGACAATAAATGCTCATCCTCGGTGTAAAAACCTGTAAAGTTTTTCTTTGTTTTCTAGCTATTGTTTTCCTTGGCTCTATTGTGTTGACTTCTCAGTGGCTCCTTTGTATTCATTGTTTTACGTCACTCGTGAGTTTCACAGGTTTTTACACCGAGGTAAACCCCAATAAATACTTAAGCTTATAAGCTTCCAGTGTAAAAGACTTGAGAAATTATTAATTTTCAGTAGTCATTTTTAATTCTAAAATAGCGTCCTGTAGTTAAGGATATTTAAAGGGAAAAATACTAACAGAGGACGAACTGAAACGTTTTAGACTTTTTACTGGCTTTCTCGCAGTCGACCGGCTTGTCACAAGTCGATCACGACCCGATATGACTTTCACAGCATCGGGAGTAGAAGCGTGATCATTTGAATCTTGACATCCATGGTTCCTGTCGTTTTCTTTTAACCTCAGTGATTTATAATTTCTGCAAATATGTTCTTCCACGTTCATGACTCGCATTTCAATTTTGTCATTGATTTCAGTCTTTTTATGAAAAGGCTTTGATATATTCACCACTGGTCACCAACAGAAACTATAAGTAACGCCTGATTGAACAACCGCTCATGTGTTTCTGTCACCGATTAATAACTAACTTTCTTTAGTATAACTAACTCACAACTTTTTACTACTTGTTAATCGTTCTCGGCGAGGGCAAAATTGATATTGCGAACGTTAACCAAAATATATACCCTTATATATCCCTGACGATTGCGTCGAAGTAGTACAGTTCCTTGAAATAATGACTTTGGTGAGTGTTCTAAAATTTTTGTGCCCCTTTAAAACATGTTTGAAATTAACAAGCATCAACGCTGTATTACCTTGACTGCCGGCATGGGTAACAGGGACTGTGAACGGAGACCGGGCCGCCATTTCTTGTATTTCTTGGATCAAAAGTAACTAACCGGGAAGGTAGTTTCCCATACATGTGCACATATTCCTGTGAGCTTCAGGCTCAGGTTTTTGTTATTCATGATTCCAAACAAAAAAATGGGACCCACGACTGGTGTCTCAGATTACCAAAACTATTAAATGTGTGTGCTTTTCTCTGACATCGAAAGAGCAAATTTGTTTACATTGTGCTAGAATACTTTCATAACTTTTTTTTTAACTACCCTTGTAGGTGAAACCAAATGGCTTTGCAGTAGTTGAATGGAATCGACCAAATGGAAGAAGTGAATTGGAAGCGATTATTGTGAAGAAGTTAGCTGTCAAGGAAAGTGTAAGAGCTGGGGCCATTGCTGAAATGCAATATGATGGAGAAATTTGGAGGGAAAAATTTCTCTCTCCATGGTAAGACTAATAGTTCAAGTGATTTAAGCTGTCATGAGCATGTACTTGTGCATCTGTCAGAACTCTGGACCACATAAGAAAAAAACTTACTGATAATGATAATAAATATACATTTACAGTTGTAAAGTGATGACTGTTATTTTGCCTCTGCATGAATGACTGCTAAGAGGGGTAAAGAAATCGTTCTTTTCTCACACAAAAAAGAGTCCTAACCCTTTTTTTATTAACTGGCCTTTTTCAGACAGTATGAGTGATGCTAGAAGTGTTTTAGACAAGGAGCTTGGAAATTCTGGAACAGAAGAAAACAGTTCAAACTGTGAACAGAATTCATCCCCAGTAAGAAGCAGAGAAAGAGAACAAAGAATAAACGACTTGATGGATATGAAACCAGTCAAAGGTACAGTAAGCTGTTATTTGACACTAACAGCATATAATGGTTTAAAGTCACCATGAAAAGGGAACTACATGTAAGTGTTATAAAAAACTAGTCACTGAGGACATTATTGAAGGTGGTTGCTCCTTGTTCCCTTAAATTTCAATTTACAGAGGTAGATAATAAAATAATAATTATCAAAGTTCTAAAAAACATTTAACCTGTATAACCGCCCTGTATATAGCGGTCACCCTGTGTATTACGGTCACCGGACAGGTTCCCAAATATTAATTTAGCCATTATATTGTCTGTGTAGTGGACCTGTATAATGGTTACCTGGCCATTTCCCAAGGGTGACTGTCATAAACAGGCTTGGCTGTATTTTGTTACAGCTACTACAAATTCATTGTTTTTGGGAGACTCAATTATTCAGACCTTTTTCTTATACATTATTATTTTATCCTGTTATTTCTTAAAGATGATGAACCAAAAAAAAAAAAAACCCAAGACCTCTGAGGGCAGAAAGAAAGCTGGAGGAAGCAAAAGAAAATGACAGTGAAAGTCAAAATAGGAAGAAAAATGCCCGAAAAGATCATGATGATGCAGCAGAAAAGGAGCGAAAGCGAATTGAAAAGGAGCAGGCAAATAAGCAAAGAGAAAAGGAACGGCAGGCCCTTACTGAGCGAAATAACATGTTGCTAGAAAGGATGACTGCTTTGGTGAGTAATCAAAGTGCAGAAGATCCCTTTGATTCCGATGTTGTCTCAGAGTGTGTGGATCTCACAACTTCATCAACACCACCATCAAATCCTGTTCATCGTCTTCAGAACACAGTAAATGAGTTACGGAGTGCCACACCAGAAAGAGTGTTGTCAATCTCACAGCTTCAAAAGACACTGGACATGCTGCAGGGCAATTCAGAGGACCCACCAACCACACCATCTATTTGTCAGACAGCAATTCCATCACTGCAGAGAACCTCTCTGACCACACTGCAGGATGTGTGGGAAGAACCAGTATCCACAACACCAGTTCAGCAGATGCCAAATTCCACCACACCAGTGTCAAGATCTCCTCTGACAACTCTGCGTGGCAGATTAACAGAAGTGCCACTGTCAATACCAAATCAACAGAAAGAAGCCACCATTTCAGGAGCACAAAGAACCCCACTGACAAACACACCCAGAAATTTTCCAAACAGAAGACAAGACTTAGTAGCCAGACCAACTGTGGGTGGTAAATGCCCCAGACGAGTTCTACCACAGCCGCTCTCAAGTTCAGATGAAGAAGAGTATTGTCCATCATGCGTAACACGCATAAAAAGAGAGTGAGGGAACTTGAAGATCAATTAAAGAGCTTGCAAGGTCAAGGTATGTATGAGGAAGTTTATGTGATAATCCCTGAAAATTAAAGAATGAGAGTTAAAAGAAAACAAGCAGTCTTGTTGTGAATAAAAGAAATAAGGGGTATTAGAAAAGGGATGCACATAATCCAGTTAGTCTGCTTGGGGCACCCTGTTTTGGTGGTGGATCGATCGATCCACTGTCTGGTCTTTGTCCACTAATTACAGTAAACACCTGCATATAAGAACCTACTTTTTTGAAGTCTGGCAAAATAGGTTCATGTATTTTGGGGTGCGTATTGCCAATTTAGGCTAAGTAGGTTCTTAATTTTTATGAAGGAGATAATTGATCATTGAGTACCAGAAAAATAAATGAACTCGGTTAAATATGCAGTATTTATTCGTAACTATTATAACCTAACAAAACTATATAATTACATGCAAGGTGAACTTTCGATCTTGTTAATAACTATAGTCATTCCTATCATTATTTTTAAGTTTCTGATCCTCCAAGACCTGGAAAGATCAGTCCCATTCTAGCAGAACGCTTTTAAGGTAAGCACTTCATTCACCATTTTAATCACAGAATGTGCATGCTATTGTAGACAAATCAGTGTAAAAGTTTTGTGCAAATCATGTAGTCGTCAATGGCTAATTTGATGTTTGCAAGAGGTTCGACCCTACTAGACCTAGTCAGGCTTACAGTTTAACCCATTTGCTCCCAGATAATATGCAGCAGAAAACCACTCTTTCGAGCCATTTAAGACCTTTTCTGGTTCTTACCAGGCTGAAAAGGATCTACAATGTAGATGTGAACTACCGAAAGACATACTAACAATTCAAGTACAATGCTGATAGTTTCTGATGCTAAATTTTAGCATTGAAGTTCAGGCATCAGGTAAAAAAAGTTCACTGCCTCCACGACTGTTTTTTTTCACTTTCCCTCGTCCTCACCTCTTGCTTTCCTTGCCCTTTTTTTTCTTTTACTTTTGTGGGGCATTTCCTTGGGCTAGTCCCTGCAAGCCACAACTTGCCCAAAGGGTAAACTGTAAGCTGACTTTCTTTACACGCCCTTGTTATGTGTCAAAGTTGTCAATGTCTTTTGAGCATTTGAAATGTGACATGCGGCAGAACATGTGGAATTATTATACAGGCTGTTCAGGTGTGTATGTCTATATAAAATTGCTATCATAAAAATAACATGGCTGTTTTTTTCTTCTTAATTCCAACAGATGGTAGAGTTGACTCCTGGTTCTCAAGTTTTTGTGTACCAGAACCATATTCACCAAGCAATGGCCAGAGCGTCGTATAAGTCAGCGGCATCGTTTTTGTTAAACTGTTTTTACACAAACGACGAGCTGGTGGGGATGAACCTGACTGGAGCAAATGGAAAGAAATGCCCAGACAAGGAGATACTTCAAAGCATTATAGGTATGTGTGCAATAACATGATGACTATGTAAATTAATAGTCTCTCAGAAACTGCTTTTTTTTAATTTTCCCATCCATAAATTCACTACTCATGTTGTAATGATTTTTGACCCTCTTTACAGGATTTGTCATGAGAGAATACCAAAAGCATTTGCCAACTGAGTCCTCTCTGAAGCTGGCTTTAAGAAACAAGCTGAGTGCTTTGGAATCAAGAAAGTTAAAGAAGGATGAGTGAAAAGCTTAATTTTTTTTCTTCTGTAATATAATTATGTACGCAGAAAAAGTTAATGTTGTGACAGATAAGTAGTTGGCCTGATTCAGATTACTAATTTCATTGCAAGTTTGTTAGGGCATTCGGTTATTGTCCTTTTTCAGCAAGCAGTCTTTGGGTTTGAAATAATTATGAAAAAATATTTATTAAATGTTAAGTACAATATATAAGCTATTTCTACAGTGAAAATAATATTGTGTTTTAAAAATTATTGACATACTGTACGTCTGTTACTGTTAAAAAAGCTCCAAATAAAATTTATTGTTACAAGCAAATATTGAACATTTTTTAGTGAATTTATGTAGAGCCAGGGTGGTCATGCATGCCTTTGTCCTTACTGAAATTTATGGGTTTCAGCAACTTAATTTAGAAGTGTACAAATTGTATACTTTTTGCAAGTGTTATACAAAAAGTATACTTTTTGTGGTCTTTTCTGTGTATGAAGCATGTATACCATTAGTATACATCCTCTTGGAGAGGTATACTTTTTGTATACATCGGGGTGTTCCAAATTACTAGTACAAAAAGTATACATCAAGTGTATACAAAATGTATACATCAAGTATACCTAAAGTATACCCAGTGCAGTATACTTCATGTATGTTCGGAGTATATTATAAGTATATTTCATTTTGTTAAGGGTAACTACCAGTAACTACTAGTAACTACTAGTAACTACTAGTAACTACTAGTAACTACCAGTAACTACCATCAACTACTACTAACTACTAGTAACTACCAGTAACTACTAGTAACTACTAGTAACTACCAGTAACTACTAGTAACTACTAGTAACTACCAGTAACTACCAGTAACTACTATTAAATACTAGTAACTACTAGTAACTACCAGTAACTACTAGTAACTACTAGTAACTACCAGTAACTACTAGTAACTACTAGTAACTACCAGTAACTACTAGTAACTACTAGTAACTACCAGTAACTACTAGTAACTACTACTAACTACTATAGTAACTACCAGTAACTACCAGTAACTACTACTAACTACTAGTAACTACCAGTAACTACTAGTAACTACTAGTAACTACTAGTAACTACTAGTAACTACCAGTAACTACTAGTAACTACTAGTAACTACCAGTAACTACTAGTAACTACTAGTAACTGCCAGTAACTACTAGTAACTACTAGTAACTACTAGTAACTACCACTAGCTATTAGGGAGAAGACACAATACTACATAATACACAGAGTGTATACTACCGGTGCACTTGTGGCTTTCTACCATGAAGTATATACCTTTTTACTGTTTATCGGACGTTTATATCGGACGGTTTCGGACGGGAGTAACAAGAAATTTGCAGGCGGTATTAAAAGATACATTTTCAGTTTTTATTCACGTGACAAGAAATTTATCAAGGTAAATGTGAAACCAATGTTTTACTGTTCACTTCTATAAGTTATGAGCGTAAACACGTGTCTGATCTATCGATGCTTGTCTTCTGCTTCCGCGGTCATACGTTCGTGGTTTATTTACGAACTACAAAAGTCCACAACAATAGCGTTTTCCAGGAACTTACTCTACACTTTCTACTCCAGAAATCCCACCTGTGGAATTCCCCCATACCTTCGGATTTCAATTCGTAAATACCCCCCCATGCCTTCAGAATTCCATAATCGTGAATCCCCCCTCCCCTTCGGAAATCCTTAAAGCCGTCCGTGGTATGGTATGGATATTTTCTGGAATCGCCCAATACTATTCACTGCTTAACCTAATTACAATACTATTAGTAATAAAAATATATATATAATAATAACATAAACACATTTTAATAAAAATTTATTCATTTACAAGCACCTCTTCAGCTTGATCATGTTTGATGTACTCAGACACCATCTCAACTGTACCAAGTCTTCCATTAGTGAGGACACCAAGTTCAAATCTTAAAAGGCACAAAGGGCCTCTGCCATAAAAAAAACAGAAAAAATGCCAGACAATAAATATTTCAAATGGCTTTACAAATAAGTAAGCCATTTAATTATCACAGTATTATAACTTATTTAACAATATTATTATTGAATGAGACTGGGTATGATGTGAAGAATTATGCAGATCGATGAGATCTGCATAACTCTCCCCATCATGCAAAAACCGAATTCAATAATATTTGCTTTATTATTCATTCAAAATATTTTTAAGTTCTTATGATGACAAGAGGAGACTTTCTTCAAAACTTTGGCTGACTCCTTGGTATGGATTAGGATACAAACAGATGCAACAGGTTTCTTGCAAATACTCCTCAAAAAGTAGATAAAATTCAAATAGCAATATGTAGCTATTCTTGCATTTTCTTCCGTTCAGTTTTAGTCAGAAATTTAGCTTTTTTGTCATCACTGACAGATAGCCATGTTGTTGGTTTGTTGGTGTTTTAGTACCAAAAGAAAAACTTTGCTTCAAACTATTCTTGGTTAAATCTATTGACCTCCACACAATTTCCCCAGGGTTGTATATAAGAGCTGGTAGCCGGTGAAGTTTGCCTGCTTCCCTGCAAGGCTTCTCCGCTACTTTCATTACTTCAAGAGTCAAGATATGGCGAGGAGATGATGTTTATCTGGTCTAAACTTAGGCTCAATAAAAATACAAATTTGCAGTCCCTATCATTAGCTCCAGCAAAACCACCATAAAGATACAGAAAAATTTCATTTCACTATTTGTTTACAAGGTTGTATTATTGAAATTTCGCTTTGTCTTTCTTTGAGTAACATGATTTTCACGGTATAATTGCAGCTTAATTCATCCCCCTGATGTTAAAGTTTCAAGGCCAAAATGCCAGGCTGCGTTTTCCAGCGTTCAGTTTTCAAAATTTTTCCAGGGGAGCAGGCCCCCAGAACCCCTTGGAAATGATGGGCTTTAGCCCATCATATGGCTCCTCGGGACCAACAACCGTCTACTTTTCAAGAAAACCCTGTTTCTCTTTGAATGGATTGATTTTTATAATATTGAAAATTATTGAATGTATAAGCATTAATACCAACAATATATTATTGCAACTTAACAAACCTGTCAAGTAAGACAATTAAGTTGTCATGGCAACCAATACTGTTTTCTGCAATGTTTGCAATGGGAGCTTCACACGACCAGGAAACACTCCTCAGTTTTATTGGGATTCTACAGAAATAATTTTCAGTTGGGTCATTTACAAATTAATTTTGCACCTCATATGCATCTACATTGTACAGCATATCAAAACAGGAATTCATCAAGACTGCTTTTGCAACGTCCATGAGATTTCATATGTGATTTCATATGTGACATGCTTATCGGTTATTCTGATAATTAGGGACCTTCAGCAAGGAAGAAGTCTTCATCAAAATGTCTTTATGAAAGTGAATTAATGTTTTTTCAAACTTTGTTGGGTATATTTGAACTGGCTAAAGATACCAAAGGTAGGTAAATTTTCCTTCAAAATTTATGGAGCTTTAACGTTTGCACTCCTGGACAACATTTATGGCGGAATTATTTGTCGCTCAGTCTCCACCTTAAATCTAATGATGTAATCCCATAGTGTTTCTATTCAAATGAAACCTCTTTGGCAGAATGTGTTTCATTAATTTCTATAATATTTTTTTTCCAAAAGGAAATTAGATTTTTTTATTTGTTTCCTTTGGCTATTATTCAGAGTCAAGTGTTAAAATATATAACACACTTAATTGTTGCATGCATTTCTTAACAGCTTACGTGAAGAGTTTTTTCAGTTCCAGCAAATGCCTTGGAGAAGGGTTTTCTGCTACAAGCTGTAATAACACTGGAGCTAAAGCCATATCAAATATCTGAGAAAAAAATAGCAACAATAACCAATAAAAGCACTTACTAACAGTTAACAACAGGCTCCAGTAGTTCCAACGTTGGATAGTGCTATCCACTGGATAAATCACTAACCAGTGGATAAGTATCAATTAAAACAAAATGCATTATCCACTGGCCTGGAACTGGATAGAACTTTACCCACAGGATAGTATTTGCCAATTTTTCTTATGGTATTACAGTATTGGGTAACTGACAAAAGTGGATCTCAGTTGACTGTATGTTACAACAAAAATTTTGGGTAGACATGCTTTTCGTAAAGAGAAATAATATTTACATCTAGTGTCGAACACTGTCAATGTTGCAGCTTAATATAGCTTTCAATACACCTAGGCATGAGTATTCCTAAAACCCCAAGTTTCTTAGATCTTCCATATTCATAAAGTAACTGTACCCTGCGATGTAAGTTATTAGTTCTCAATGTTTTAATTATGGTAGGATAATTTAATTAATGCATTACAAACTTTGAAACTATTTTGTTGGCTAAAGTGTAAAATTTAACAAAGTACCTGAATATCTCCCTCAGCACTGCAAACAAGCACTACAGCATCCCCTGGGTGCCACTGAATAAGTGATGGCATCTGAAGAACATGCAGTTAACAATAGATAGTAAAAGTTCGTATTCAAATGGTTTCAACCCGAGTTGATTCCACTGACTTCTAGCCCTAATTATTCATGATTAAGAATATGACAAAAGACAATGACAACAGTTTTTTTCATATTCATATAATGGACCATGCATGAATAATAAGGACTGGAGCAAACGGAAATAGAGGATCAAACTATGATGACCCAATTTTAACTTGAATTTCATTTGAACTACAACATTGTCAATATTAATTTTTCTAAATGGACTTTCACCCATTTGCTCCGGCCCTGAAAATGTCGCCAAAAAATGCCTTTTGAAGCTAGTTGAGATATTTTCTGGTCACTAACAGTATGTGGTGTAGAAGAATCAAAACTAAACCCAAAATGCTGTTTGTAAGTCAAGCACTATGTTATCTTCTGTTGCTGAAGCAAACAATAGTAACAATAAATAGGTACAGAAAAGTTAATTACCAAAGAGGCCTTAGTCATCTGTGTAACTCTCCTATGATCATCGTACAGCATCTATGAGAAACAACACATTTTGGAAATATATTATTTCATTAATTAAATAGCATCAGTATTATTGAAAGATATCAACTAGTATCATTATTGTGGTCGTTCTAACTTCCTGCAAAGAAGATAACCATTTTTAATTTTTGGATCAAAGAAAAAAACTACAGGAAACTTGTGGATACATTATTTAGCAAATAGAGAAGTCTGGTTATAGAAGACGATCAAAATAAATTGTTGGTATTTAAAGTTGAAATGAAACATCCAAGAAAAATTGCAGCTGCTGTGAACTTCAGTGCTTGTCAACACTACCAATTGTGTGCAATTGTGACAGGATTTTTTACATTTCATGTCACTGAACATGTGCGTTGCTTTAAAAATTCTCTCGTTGTCTGATGATATTTCTCAAATTTATTTTCTCCAGGGAAAAATAATATCCTATATATGTGCTACATGGCATCATGTTTTCAAAATTAAATTGGGTCATGCCACTGGGACGCACTGATTAGAAGTTGCTACAAAAATCTTAATGTGACTGCCACAACGAGTAGCTTTGCAAGCATGATTTTCATGGATATTTTGTAACTAAAGTTGCTGCTTCTGATCCACACAATAAATCCATGCAATTATTATTGTCATTCTGATGTTGGGTGCTCTCTTTCAAACACAAGACTAATCACTATTAAGTGAGTGAGTGAGTGACACACTGATTTGCATATTGCAGTGCCTACTGACAGCAACTTGTTGGATATGCCATCGATATCCCAGCCTGCAAGCAAGCTCTCCCGTGGCACTCTGGCAGTGGAGCAGGAAAAGGAAGGAGAGCTTGCAACTACATCTCTGGAATTTGAATTCCACTTCCAATTCCCCTATGGCTCTCCGACAACTGAGCTCACTGTCAGATTTCCGCCAAACAGCATAAAGTGGAAACAACTGCAAGTGTATACAAACATTAAAAGCCAGTGCCAAGGGTATAGTAATAACGTCGTTACTAATGTCATCTCTGCTAATCAGCATTTCACATCGACTTTTTCGAAGCAGATATTCAAATTCCAGAGACATAGTTGGAAGCTGCTCCTTCCTTTACCCGCCCCACCGCCAGAGTGCCCCAGAGAGCTTGCTCACAGGCTATCAATATCTATGAGTTAATAAAACAAACTGGAGTAAATATTGCACAGGTGACAGGTGTTATATATCTTACCAATGTACCATCTGTACAGCCCAGCAGTAGTTTGTCTTCAGCATGATTTCTTTGCTGTGTGACAATGGCAGCTGGACATAAAATAGACAAAATAAGGTGAGGTATTGGTTCTAATGACATATACCATACTCATCATGAATAGTCATATACAAGTCACCACAAATCAGTAGAGGTTTTGTAAGAAAATGAAAGATTGAGATGATTGGCATAAATGAATCAATATTATCAACAAACACACAAAGGTGGCCAATAAAGGACAACAAGTAGAGATTTAAATTAAGTCAGCAGCTTGAACAATTCATTGAAAAAATTCTTAAAACGATCTTTAATCTGAGTTAACTCTCTCCAAATGATCAATGATGAGAACAGTATAGTCATGAAGATTCCCATCCCAAGTAGTCTTAACTTCTTTGGTGTAATCAGCAAAGGTGACTGAAACATTATCAAATATATAGTCAAGTCTCAGTCAAGGTGTCAATATCAGTTTTATGCATAATCAGATAACAAATTCTCACAAGATCTTGTAACAACCCTATGGCATTAGAACCTTGTGTCAAGAAACTTACAAGACCTTGTAAGAATCTTCTGTTAAGAATCTTGTGTGATCTTGTAAGAATCTAGTGTCAAGAATCTTACAAGTTCATGTTTTAATTTGTGTCATGCCAACTGAATCTTGGCATGAATCTTGGCATGAATCTTGGCAGGAATCTTGGAAACAATCTTGCCATAGATCTTGGTGAGAATCTTAGCAGGAATCTTGGCGGGAATCTTGGTATAAACCTTGCCATAGATCTTGGCAGGAATCTTGGCAAGCTTATAAAACTGACTTTCTTTGTGCCCTTTACTAAGAACGGTAAATTTAAACTTACAAAATGTGGACTTTCTCCCAAAGGTTTCTGTATTCTACGCAGTGTAACACGGATTATGGTTAAAACGTATAATTGCAGCTGTAACAGGAAAATGTATGTTTGTTGATGCAGCAACGTAATATAAATAAACATTACAGAGTTTTATTTGGAGATATTTTTATTGTGCCTGCCTTGGGTGTAGCCTTGCGATATTTCACAGGAATGTGCAGCCCAGGGTGGGGAAATTTGGTTGCATTTGACTGGAATGAATTGCCCGTGGGCAGGGAATTTGACTGCAAATTTTGGATGCGGAGACGTCAAATACAGGGAGCTGGGGGATGTGAATGATTACTGCAAAAGTCGGAGGTAAAGGTGATATCAGTCAGTTTTATCATGAATATGTTTTGGTGAACGCAGCTCACTCTACCCTCCTTATGGTTCCAATATTCCACCAAGGAGACTTAGACATTGGTTTCACTTTCCTCAATGCAGGGGGTATTCACCACGTAACTCGTCATGAAGGATTTCCAAGGTAAGGTTATGCTGCGTTCGTCTTGATTATGACTAAAATCCTAACACATCTTTGCTTGAATCTTGTAAACTAACAAATTATGTCGAGATATCCTTTTCAAAAAATGAGTACTTCTAAACACTACAGGAGTGTAAGAAACAACACAGTTGTCAATTATCCACAATTTTGACCCAGGTCTTTGTTTTCTAGACCGAGAAAATGAAGTCCTAGAAAACGAAGGCCTAGAAAGGGAAGACCTAGAAAACGCCAAAGAAGCTCCTGTCGCTAAATGTCTTGACAGGAATCTTGGCAACAATCTTGCCATGAATCTTGGCAGGAATCTTGGTAACAATCTTGCCATAGATCTTGGCAAGAATCTTGGCAGGAAATGTGGTAACAATCTTGGTATGAATCTTGCCATAGATCTTGGCAAGAATCTTGGCAGGAATCTTGGCAAGAATCTTGGCAAGAATATTGGCAAGAATCTTGGTAGGAATCTTTGCAAGAATCTTGGCAAGAATATTGGCAAGAACCTTAACAGGAATATTTGCAAGAATCTTGGCAAGAATCTTGGCAGGAATTTTAATTGGCATAAATCTTGGTAAGAATCTTGGCAGGAATTTTAATTGGCATGAATCTTGGTAAGAATCTTGCAATAGATCTTGGCAAGAATCTTGGTAAGAATATTGGCAAGAATCTCGGCAGGAATCTTGGCATTATTCTTGATAGGAAACTTGGTAACAATCTTGGCAATAATCTTGGCAGGAATCTTGGCGAGAATCTTAGCAGGAATCTTGGTATGAATCTTGCCATAGATCTTGGCAAGAAACTTGGCAGGAATCTTGGTATAAATCTTGCCATAGATCTTGGCAAGAATCTTGGCACAAATCTTTGCATGAATCTTGGCCAAAATCTTGGCAGGAATCTTTGCAAGAATCTTGGCAAGAACCTTGGCAGGAATCCTTGCAAGAATCTTGGCATGGATCTTGGCAAGAATCTTGGCAGGAATCTTGGCAGGAATCTTGGTAAGAATCTTGCATAGATCTTGGCAAGAATCTTGGCAAGTATCTTGGCAAGAATCTTGGTAAGAATATTTGCAAGAATCTCGGCAGGAATCTTGGCATTAATCTTGACAGGAAACTTGGTAACAATCTTGGCAATAATCTTGGCAGGAATCTTGGCAAGAATCTTGGCAGGAATCTTGGAGAGAATCTTAGCAGGAATCTTGGTATGAATCTTGCCATAGATCTGGGCAGGAATCTTGGCAGGAATCTTGGCAAAAATCTTGGCATGAATCTTGGCAAGAATCTTAGCAGGAATCTTGGAGAGAATCTTAGCAGGAATCTTGGTAGGAATCTTGCCATAGATCTTGGCATGAATCTTTGCAAGAATATTGGCAAGAATCTTGGCATGGATCTTGGCAAAAATTTTGGCATGAATCTTGGCAAGAACCTTGGCAAGAACCTTGGTAGGAATCTTTGCAAGAATCTTGGCAAGAATATTGGCCAGAATCTTGGCATGAATCTTGGCAGGCATCTTTGCAAGAATCTTGGCAAGAACCTTGGCAGGAATCCTTGCAAGAATCTTGGCATGGATCTTGGCAAAAATCTTTGCAAGAATCTTGGCAAGAATATTGGCAAGAATCTTGGCATGAATCTTGGCAAGAATCTTGGCAGGAATCTTTGCAAGAATCTTGGCAAGAAGCTTGGCAGGAATCCTTGCAAGAATCTTGGCAGGAATCTTGGTAAGAATCTTGCCATAGATCTTGCCAAGAATCTTTGCAGGAATCTTGGCAGGAATTTTGGCAAGAATCTTTGTAAGAATCTTGGCTTTAATCTTGGCTTTAATCTTGGTGAGAATCTTGGCAAGAATCTTGGGCAAAAATATTGGGAAAAATCTTGGCAGGGATCTTGGCAAGAATCTTGGCAGGAATCTTGGTAAGAATCTTGGCCAAAAATCTTGGCAAGAGTCTTGGCAGGAATCTTGAAATTAATCTTGGTAAGAATGTTGGGAAGAATCTTGGCCAAAAATCTTGTCAAGACTTTTGGCAGGGATCTTGGCAAGAATCTTGGCAGGAATCTTAGTAAGAATCTTGGCAAGGATCTTGGTAAGAATCTTGGCAGAAATCTTGGCAAGAATCTTAGCAGGAAATGTGGCCGTGAATCTTGGACAGAAATCTGGGCAGGGGCCCTGAATTTAACTTGCTCACCACAATCTGACCGCAGTGCTCTACTATCTGAATGCCTGGAACAGGCTATTGTAATCTTTGCGCTAAGAAGAACTTTTTACATCAGGCACTTTTTTCACGATCATTCAGTGTTCAAGTAACTTTTATAAGGCTTTTTTGCTTAACCTCTTTAGTTGCCTAATAACTATCTTTGTGCTACCATGGCATATCACATGACTTTAACATGCTATGAAGCGTGTCATTTAACACGCTGCTGGAAATAAAAGATTACGCGTGTTAAGACATGCAAAACAAAAGCTACCATGACACTTGTTTCCTTATTAAATATGCACATATGTATGTCAGATGTCATGCTTAGCATGCCATGTTATCGCAAGTGTTTCCGTGTCGTCACCATTATGCTGGAAATCCTGTAGAGGATCACATTTTTGCTAACTGGTGTACTGTTTGTTGTCTGTCCCGTAGTGCATAGCGAAAGTTCATGTTATATTTATCGGGCTCATGATTGCTTGGTTTGAGAGGATGAGGATGACTACAAGAAATTAAGACATTACATTAAACGTAGAAATATTGATAAGCTCATTGATTTGATCTCAGTAAATTAAGGTGCATGAAATTGTCTTTTAAAATTTAACAGAAAAGTACACAAAGTGGTGCAAACATAGGGGTGATGATTTTAATTAACTCAAGAAAGCAGCGAGTCGAGTTATAACATAGTGACATATTTTTACCACCACGTAGTTAGCTCAGTTGGGAGAGCACCGGTCTGCTGAGCAAGAGGTCATGAGTTCAAACCCCGGTCAGACCAACACTCAGGGTCTTTAAAATAACTGCCCAAAGGAGAAAGTACAGTGCTGCCTTTGTAATGACATCTGCGAACGGTTAGACTTTCTAGTCTTCTCGGATAAGGGCGAAAAACCGTAGGCACCACCTCACAGTACTTTCACTTATCTGGTTCTCGTGGCATGTAAAAAAACCCACACCACTGTTGCCACCAAAACGAAGCCTACTAAATGCCCAGCAAAAGAAAAAAAAAGGAGGCAAGAAAAGCGAAAAAAAGAGGGGAGGAGAGAAAGTGAAAAGTAAAAGTCGAGACTGCTGGGTCACTTTTAAACCCAAAAGCTATCTATAAGTTTTGCTTTCTGCGAATGCCCAAACTTTGCAAGGGAATATTTTGCATCTGGATCAGGAGGCCGTGAAGTATACGATTTGTAAATGGCTTTATGGTAAGTTCTTACTCTTTATAGCACAACAGTGACCAGAAAACCACTCGACTAGCCTCAATTTGACAAAATTTCCAGGGACAAATGGATGAAATAACCACTTAACAGGACAGTGCTTATATAAGTTAGTGCTAACAGATGATGCTCATTGAATGAAAAGCCCCTTGCTGATTATCAACAAATTACCTTCCGAATAGATAATGAAGAGGAAGATGAGAGCAAACTTTGTGTAAGAGAAGTATTCTAGCAGTGCTGTTCATAGGACAAGGGGAAACAAACCAATAAGTAAACAAACATGGTAATTAAAATACAAAAACAAATAACGGCCAAAAAAGGGAATGAAAACCTTGGCTGAGATTCAAACCTGGAACCACCTGCACTAATGCTGAACAGTTTCTTAATCAGTACTCATATCTCAGTTGTTCAAGAATGCATGAATGGGATCAGTATAATGTGTTTGAAAATTGCCCTGCTATCCCTCCCCTAACCCAACATTTTGCCCCAAGTAAGAGATTAGTGTAAATGTTGGGTTAGGGAAGGGGTATGTGGGGAGCTTTACATAACCTTACTCTGATCTGTTGTGGGTTTCTACTTTACGAAAAACTAAAAGAAAAGTCTACCTGACATAACTGAAAACTTATTGCAAATGAGTTATAGGATAAATGTAGATAAACTGTATCATACCTTTTACTGGGATAGTAGTAACAGCTAGCCTTTCAATCTAAAGGTTTAAAAATATAGAATTACAAAATCATATAACAAACTAAAAATTTACTACTTAAGTGAAATATGACCATCCACATGCAGGTCTGTAATAATAGCTATTCTATTCAGGACTATGGTTACCCAGACAATTATTTACTGCACATACACTAATACCATGACAATAACAAAATTAAAACTATTTATGATGGTAGACATGAAATGCTCATTGTTCACCACAGGGGAGGCACACTGTCTTTTGTGGAGACTTTATAAACGGCCCTTTTTTTAAGGGATGCATGGCTATTTAAGAGGTGGGTCCTTGATAGAGATAGGATAAAAATTATAACACAATGCTTATGACATTATACCTAAAAAGTCTGGGATACATGGATAAGGTTCAAGACGCCCTGTAGACAGGAAGGCAGACAGTTTACAGTTACTACTTACACAAGAAACTATCATAAATATAGAGTTGTCTGCGTATTTAGAAAGAGCCTTTTTTTGCAGGAGCAATTTAGATCATTTGAGAAAAATATAAAAGTATAAAGCCTACAAACTCAAGACAACTACATGTACTGCTAGAAATTAAGTGAAAGTACCGATGCATATTATTTTTATGATAAGAAGATGCATGCTGAAACTGTTTACTTCAGTTGCATAATGCATCTGCAGAAATATTTCTGTCCATTTTTATTTTTGGATCTTTTGTTAAACTCTTCTCAATCAACTTGTTTTAAAAGGGAAAAAATGCATTATTTAGCAATCCTATTGACATGGAATACTCCTGGGATGCTTTTGACGTTTCTTCGCCCTCGAATTTTTAACTAGTGATAAATCACTGCTGTTCATGTTATAAACATTACTTAAATTATCAAATTTTACCTCCATATTAAATAAAGTATAAAACTGACGAGGGGCAACTCATGTCAACAACCATTACATCAGAAATACTCTTGAAGCATTTATAGCAACCACTGTAACATTATATTAGTAAATGGACAGGGTAAAGACAGCAAACCTAGAAATAGCTCCCTAGGGTAGCTATCACAATAACCATAATTATGGTGGCCCACAACTGTCACAGCAAAACCAAAAACCTCACGGTGAAACCAAAAACCTCATGGCAAAAACAAAATACCTCACGGCAAAAGCAAAATTAGCTTTGGTTTTGCGGTGGGTATTTGCTTTTGCCGTAAGGTATTTGGTTTTTGCTGTGAAGTATTTGGTTTTGCCGTGAGGTCTTTGGTTTTGCCGTGAGGCTTTTGGTTTTGCCGTGAGGTATTTTGTTTTTGCTGTGAGGTTTTTGGTTTTGCCGTGAGGTATTGTGTGTTTGCCGTGAGGTTTTTGGTTTTGCTGTGACAGTTGTGGGCCACAGTACATAATAGTTAAAGTAATGCAAATAACAAAATAATATATAGATTTAGCCAGGGCTAAAAGCGAGGCTCCCATTAGTAAATTTATAATTTAAATTAAACAATAAACTTGTATTCGAATTCCACAATTCAGTTAACTTTAGAGCACATTTATGTGACTTTTGAGGGAAAGGCTACCTGATTTTAGAGAAAAATAATTTGCAAACAGCCCAAGAGTGAACCAAATCTTACCTCGAGTTGATAGCCTCATATGTACACTCAAAAACTGGTAATCATCTTTTATCACATTTAAGAGCCGTAATGGCTATTGATCACCGTAGATCAATTAGGCTTAGAAAAAAAACCAGGCCAACGTTTTGGCGTTCGACAAGTTTACTTTGCAAAATCTTGCCAACAAATCTGGGTGCGTGTAAACCAACCTTTCATACCATGGACAGAAAGCAGTATTTCACAATACAAATTGCTCTCATTCAATATTCATAAACTGTTAGAAAAAGCTGTAAGCTGTAGCGAGTGTTTGAATGAACATTAACAGAGTTACGCTCCAAGATAATAAAGAATTTATCATGTTTATTTTTTATTTGATGGTTTAACGCGCGGCATTTTGAGAACTCCTGCAAGCGATGTTCACTGAACGACTGAAAACAATCGGCATAGCGATTAAAATTGCAAGAGAGACTACTAACAATCAATAAAAGAAATATAATGCGGTGAAACATAAACAGAGACAACAATTTTCATTCAGGAAGACAAGTATTAAAGTGTCCCTAAATATCCTGAATCTTCAAGCTTCAAGCTTAAGTTTGCTGAAGTTTATGTTTTAAGCCAGCTTCCGGTGTTTTTTTTTTTCAAAGACGAACTCGAGGCAAGAAAAATCGCTCAAAAGCTTTCTTTTCCGGCTAGAATTATAACTAAAGATTCTTTGGAACATTTTCTTTCTATTTGCGGTGAGAAACTGTCTAAAGGCTTTTTAAAGTTCTGTAAGATTATATCAAACCAGATACTCGGTGAGATCGTTGTCTCAAATCTTACAAACGCGCATAAACTAAATTCCCGCATAAACTACGCCCACTTCATTAAATTAGATACAAAAACAAACATGAAATACAATAATTTCTCTGGCTTACCATTCGAGATGCAGCTCCTGAAAGTTATCAGGTAAAGCCAGTATCGCTTCAGACTTTGCAATCCTCTTACGCATCAAGCAAGGTGAAAACGAAAACGATGCCATCCGAAATCGGTTCCGACTTTGACAAGCGACGTTTTCTCAACCAAAAACCCAGTAAACAAACTAGCCATGAGTAACAGAAGACTCCTGATAGCAGCTGAATTTCATTTTGTACATCCAGTGGAAAAAGACAGTTAAAAACATCACAAGTTGACACAAAACTCTGTCAGCTTCAGCTGTTAAAGTAAACAAGATTCAAGATGCTGCATAAATTTTGCGCATGAACTCACCTGTCAAATTTTGACCAATCAGAGCATAAAAATTGGACGAGAGCGTGACCAACGCGTGACCATTGTGAGAAAAAACAAAAGCAACTGTCTTCCTGCCTGTAACAGCTGGCTGAATTTTCACGTCCGAGGTCAGTTTGCAATCAAAATTTTAATTGTCCAGCACATAAAACAACATATTTCATATGAATTAAGAAAAAAAAAAAATTGAACTTGAGCCTGCGATCACTTGAAAACTAGTTTACTTGTCAGCGGATAACTTCAAAAATACTTGACCTCGACGGTCGACACCTGAGCCCGCGATACGGTCAAGTGATACTGGTCAGCGGGTACTCTGTTTTGACAGCTGTCAATTGATCAAAACATTGATGTCCAATATGTGTGCATTATCAGTTTTCCTGTGCTCCCAAACTAGTAAAAGTATGAGATTGAACGTTGTTCGCGATCTAGTAAAACAGTTAACTGGTCAGCGGACAGCTTCCAAATAAATCACATCACCTCGATGAGTTGACACATGAGCCCGCGATATGGTCATGGGATACTGGTCAGTGGCTATCCTGTTTGGACAGCTGTCAATTGACCATATTGTTAATGTCCTATATTAAAGATGTGGACTTGCCAATACACGCCTGAGACACCCCTCCCTTCCTTTTGATAGTCTCCCCTACCCCACCCATACAATCTGTAGACGCGTACGTACGTACGCTCGGTCAATCACGTGACAACCAAACGAAAAGAGGTTGACCATATTCCATGGGTATGGGGCTCTGTCCCACGCGCGCTTCGCGCGCGCGGGAGCCCCGCTATTAATATTGAAGACATGTGCGTTTGAGCTGAGCAGTCACATTGAAACAGCTCTGCCAACTCTAGAAATTTGTTATGATGTTGAAGCTTATGAAGCAATGATTGCAGAGAAAACTAAGCAAGTAAGACAGGAACCATTACATGACATTGTTTCACTCCTTTGCAAAACTGTTACTTTGTTAATCTCTCTTTTTCAAACCTTTTCAAATACTGTAATATTAGAACTTGTGAGACTGACCTGCCTTAATTAGCTTAGCTACCTGCTGGTCCGTAGAATTGTAAACATATTGTAGCATATAAAAAATGACTTGATCTTCAACTAGAAGTGTTGTTGGTGATAAATTATTTGTTTGTTGCAAAGGGTTTAGATGAACTAACCTTAGTGCCTGTGTATTCATAAATACAACTGTCCACACTAGAATCACCACCACCTGCTGATGACTGCTCCAATGTGTGCACATGGTGTGGTTGATTAAAACTGATGAAAGATTTCAGATACACTGCTGGTTATTTACAACTTTTCAAAGCACCAGTGAATGCTTTCAATTTATATGCTACACACAGCTCTCTTTACTGGATTGAAATCCCATTTGGCCTGTTCTAAGCACCAGCTATATTCCAGGGCCGAGTTGTTCAAAGCTGGGTTAAGATAACCCAGGGTTAGTGCGACATTTGAATTCAGATTTGAAAGCTTAAAAGGCATTTCAGTTTTAGATTTTTTTGTCTACAAGTTGATGATTGGAAGCTCTAAAAATAGCATAGAAAATTATGCGAGAAAATGCTTTTGAACACACGAAAAAGAATACTGGGTTAAATTTAACCCCAGGTTAAGCGCTAAGTATAATCAGCCTTCAAACAACTGGACCCAGTATTTTAGATCAAACTTTCTCAGCGATGAGAAAGATAATTTTCTCAGTGAACCTTACATGTTGACACGACGTTCTCTTTAGAGGAGGGTTTTTGTCTGAGGCCGGAGGCTGGACATTTCGTCTGGTTGTTTGCCACTGTATATCTGGTACTTTGATGCCAATATTTGAGGGTTTTTAAAATTTTATTATTATTTTTTTTACTTAAGCAACTCATGAACTTACTGACTAGAGGATAACAGAATATGCAATTACCTAAGTTTCTTTGCTGCTTGATTATTTTCCCTTCTCATATAAAAGAAATTGAAGTGACAAAGATTACAGCTTCAGTTATTGTACCTTATCATCTTTTTTGAAAAAAAAAAACATGATAAACAACTGAAATTTCTGTTGTCGACATTCCCCTACCAACTGTCCAGTTTCATTAAAAATTGTCCTTTTTAAAGAGAATTTGAGAAAACTCTGGCCAGCATTGCCTGGGAAACTGATTATTGGGTTCCAGAAATGCTGGAAACAGTGTTTCTGAGTGTGCTATTTCAAAAATGTCCTGGGGGGCATGCCCCCAGACTCCCCTAGGTAGCTTGCGCCTTTGGTGCTCACAAGGCGGCCTTCAGCACCAAAAACATTTGGCCTCTGGTACTTTGAGAAATATGTCCACTACTTTAAAAACCTGTTGAAAACCCAGCTAAAAAGGGTACTTTTTAGAAATGACAAACAGTCATGATGTGTTGCAACACAGTATATGATTAACATCTCTTTTGTAGGGCACTTTTTGACATAAATATATAGTGAATTGAAAAAGACAACCAAAGGAAAGGCTATCAGTCTGTGCGACTAGACTGTCCTAAAATAGCTATAACTTCAGTGTAGTCTCTCTTTTCTCTGGACACCTGTCTTAACTTAGCACCATATAACCACCATTTTGACACCAACTGTTTCCCCTTTTCAACACATAGTGCAGATGAAATTGCTCTCAAAATTAATGTACAATCGATGATCAGTCAACCGTAGAGTTGTCTTAAGGCATAAATCTACATCCACTTCATGGAGATTAGACACCACATAACACACCTGAAGGCAGCATGGATGGGATCGCATTCTGTTCTGACAAAGCCAAGTAACTCCAACTTTGGCCTTGAAAAAATGATTCAAAAGGAAATGGTAAAAAACAATGACGATATGCATGGAGACTGGAAATGTATAATATAGGAAACAATATAATAAATACGAAAAATATCATTATATTGTTAAGAGAGTATTGTATCAGGAGTACCAAAAACTCTTGCCATGTGAAAATCGAAGGCACCTTGCATAATTGCTTTCCAGGACTCTTCCTATTATGGACTTGTGGATACAATTATCGGTGTCTCATCTCAATTTTGTTACAAAAGTACACGTCAAATGGGCAAACGTCAGAATCGTACAACCCTGAGACAGCCGTACAATGGATTAACATGGCTTAAGCTTATGACCCAGTGAAGGCAGACATTATTTCTGGTGGTCACTTCTCTCCACCCGAAAGTTTTGGGTGAAGTGATAACTCGAATAATTATGTCTGTGTTCTTGCAGGCTAAGGGTCAATGGTACACAAGGAAGGCTTTGTTTGATGGGTTATTTAACAATTAATGATTAAGGCTGAGTATCTTATGAAGAATTATGGCGATCGATGAGGGTGTTGGCCGTCGTGGATAACACCCTCCGAGATCTCCATAATTCTTCATAAGATGCAAAAGCGGAATTCAACAACTGTTTTATTATTCATTCAAAATAATTCCTAGTTTAAAAACAAAGCTAAAACAAGCTTACCTGCATCGATGTTAAGTTTATCTTCGATAGTTTACATTTGGGTTTGTCCAGCTGCGCAAATATTCTCCAAATAGCAGATGTCGCCCTCTGAGTTGTCTTCTTGCTGTTTTTGCTATGTTTTTAGCCATTATTTTGCCTTAAGTTCCAGCTGTAGTTCTTACTCTTGAAACGAGTGAAGTGTCCGCCATTTTAATTTTTACAACGAAAACAACTCAATCTCGTCCCCAGGTCTTCTCTGTTAATGCTGCATTAACCTGTAGAAGGCTGCATTTTTGACGTCATTTCCTCGTTAAACACAAAATTCTTCCAAATTTGGTCTTAAGTAACTGGTTATGGTAAATTATGCGTGTGCTTTTAGCCAATCAGAATTGGGGAAATATTTTGAATGAATAATAATTATCAACTAGGGTATCTAAAAGATAGTAATGCTGCGGCACATTCTGTTGATACTGGCATTAGTTAGGCAGCGAGACTTAAAAGAATCGAAAATGATATTGAATGTCCTATTTACATGTTGGAAAGTACTAGAATAATTACTATCAGTCTATAGAAAGAACTCGTGGGAACGTTGTTTAGAAAATGATCAAGTGGTTATAACTCTGGTTTTCCCACAGTAAATTGTAGGAAACAATAGAAATTCAGATTGTTTATCTATATATTTAATATACGGTGCACGATATTTTCTCTGGAAACACAATACTTTTCTTGCTGTTTGTTGCACTTTATTAAGTAACAGTTATTTAGCTATATATTTATAGAAAACAACTACACAAAAAACGGAGAAAAAAGAAAGAAGGAATGATGAATTCGGTAGGACTCGAACCCTGCACCTTCGACTCGACGCGACTACACCTAACCACTACACCACAGAGGCTAATTACGTAATTTGTAGGAAAAGTCTTGATTTATTCCCTTTCCAGACTTTCCATGAAACTTCCGCCGGCAAGATGATCGCCAGCCGCATTAACCGAGCTATTAACAGTGAAAAAACAATGTAAACGCATATTCCATGGCAATGAATGAATGAAAGAACATAATTATGCTTTTCAAAACGCCGATACACGCCCCTCGTCAAAGTAGGACACAAAACATATGTTTTGTTATCTCGATTTCCGCTGTTATTTTGCAGCGAATGGTCAAAATCACATCCATTTTCGGCTCATACAGTTTCTTAAGAATAGCACTGCATGACATTTTCTCACTTTCACATCACCTTCTAGCAAGCTGGAATTTGTATATCCCCCGTGTTGCGGAGTCGAAGAGCAAATGCTCAGCGTCTCGTCAGGTTTAACACCTGGACGAGTCAAAGGCTCTTAAATTGAAATCCAATCCCCAAGTTAACCATCCTACTCATCTGAAAGACTCCTGCGTGTCTTAAAATTTGGTAAGACCTCTAACCGTGCTGTAGAAAATTTGCCACAAAGAAAACTCTAAGTCTGAGCAGCGAACGATGCACTCTCTCACCCACCGAACTTCCCCGTGTTTTTATTTGAGTTGTTCGTGGCGCAATGCACTCTGGTTAAATATGCAATGCATTGTGGTAAAAAGTGTGGTTAAATGCAATGCATTGTGGTAAAAAGTGATGAATTCGAGAATTCGTCGCCCCTTATATATTTCCTTTAAATCCTGATTATGTTGCTGCTCGCTCCCTTCGGTCGCTCCGCAGCAATTAATTCATTATATAAAATATTTTGTAGTCTGTGAGAAAGTGTCTCTCATCAAATCCATTCTTGTATGAAAGCTCATACAAAATAATTGTCAAAAGAATATAGCAACTTTTAACTTATTTTTCTCTAAAGCTTTGTAGAAAAACACAAGAGTATTTCATTGGTTAGTTTGGAAAGAAACAAATTCACTGTCTCTCTGATCTTTTTCCACTGTAGTACAAATGTAGATGTAATGATATCATATGTTACCCATTCAAACCAAAGATGACCATATTTGCCCTGTCTTTCTCGCCTGTCATTGGAGACCAAGGCCATGCTTCTTCACTGTGACTTACTGACCACCAAACAACTACCTGAAATAAGTTCAGTCAGGTAATAAAATAATGAACAACCCTCCAAGTTGCAAACATTTTAGTCACCATAGTGCTTAAAATTTTGGAACTGGCGACTTGATTTGGAAAATAGTCACCAAGTTGGTGACCATGAAGAACAGCCGTTTGTATAGAAACAAAAATGGTAATCATTTCTACTGACATATGAAGAACATTTATTCTAGCTGATCATGATTTGATTACTATTGCTTTTTTAGTTTTCCATTGAAAAACATGCTAAATTGAGAACTTAAAAAAGTCCCAGAGCTAAGCATTTTGAAATGAACATCAATGAAACTTGGGGTGTCTACAAAACAAAGACCTAAGACCTAAGACCTAAGACCCAAAAACGAAGACCCTAAAATGAAGACCCCAAAACGAAGACTAGTTTTTTTTAAAAGGCCTATCAAACCAGAGCCAGTCAAGCCGGGTCAACGCTTTTCCTCAGACACCAACTGACGCGAAATGAATGGGGTCATCGTTTTGTAGATTAAGCCGGGTCAAACTACAAAACGAAGACCCTCGCGTAAATGCTTTGTTCGTTGTCAACTGAAGCGAAATGAATGGGGTCTTCGTTTTGTAGATTAAGCTGGGTCAAACTCCAAAACGAAGACCCTCGCTTGCTTTGTTCGTTGTCAACTGACGCAAAATGAATGGGGTCTTCGTTTTGTAGATTAAGCCAGGTCAAACTACAAAACGAAGACCCTCGCGTAAATGCTTTGTTCGTTGTCAACTGACGCGAAATGAATGGGGTCTTCGTTTTGTAGATTAAGCCGGGTCAAACTACAAAACGAAGACCCTCGCATAAATGCTTTGTTCGTTGTCAACTGACGCGAAATGAATGGGGTCTTCGTTTTGTAGATTAAGCCGGGTCAAACTACAAAACGAAGACCCTCGCTTAAATGCTTTGTTGGTTGTCAACTGACGCGAAATGAATGGGGTCTTCGTTTTGTAGATTAAGCCGGGTCAAGCTACAAAACGAAGACCCTGATCTGAAACTGATCTCTATGTATATTTCATAGTTTTTCGAGTTATCTGTTTATCTTTCAATTTTTTTAAAATTTGTTCCAGTTCAAAGTTACGTTTTAAAAACCATAATATATACGCAAAATACTCTAGGTTATGCCCTGTTTTTTAAAAACAAGCATGTCTGCATTTCAATACAAATGTATTAAAAGGGATAGAAAGGGAGTCAGCTAATTATTTCATTTAATTCGTTCCCAAATTGATCTTTGTTAATGTTATTCAGATATGAATATGAAGATATTAACAGTTTGTAAATTGTACTGGGGATCGCAGAAATTCCTTCTGTTTGTATGTTTTCCTCTGATTTGCAAATAAAACACCATTTGATTTTCTTTACTTTAAAGAGGGCCTTCCTTTTGAAAATGAAGGCGGCCAATGGTTTTGCGTCCATACCGTACCCGGAGGTGGGCAAGTTTACATTATCTTATTCTACTTTTCAAGTTATTGTTTTCAAATTGCCGTTAAGAAGTGGGGTCTATTGGGGATAAGCCGATAAAAACTGTCGACATAGTACAAAAACCCATTTCGTGTCAGTTGACATCTAACAAAGCATTTAAGCGAGGATCTTCGTTTTGTAGTTCGAGCCGGCCTTATTTCACATGTCACACGAGGCGATTTGTTGCAGCAACCTGTCGCGGCGACGTGTCGCAGCGATTTGTTGCATCGTGTGTCTCGGCCTCTATAAGCGAGGGTCTTCGTTTTGTAGTTTGACCCGGCTTAATCTACAAAACGAAGACCCCATTCATTTCGCGTCAGTTGACAACCAACAAAGCATTTAAGCAAGGGTCTTCGTTTTGTAGTTTGACCCGGCTTAATCTACAAAACGAAGACCCCATTCATTTCGCGTCAGTTGACAACGAACAAAGCATTTAAACGAGGGTCTTCGTTTTGTAGTTTGACCCGGCTTAATCTACAAAACGAAGACCCCATTCATTTCGTATCAGTTGACAACGAACAAAGCATTTACGCGAGAGTCTTCGTTTTGTAGTTTGACCCGGCTTAATCTACAAAACGAAGACCCCATTCATTTCGCATCAGTTGGTGTCTGAGGAAAAGCGTTGACCCGGTTTGACTGGCTCTGGTTTGAAGACCCCATTCATTTCGCGTCAGTTGGTGTCTGAGAAAAAGCGTTGACCCGGCTTGACTGGCTCTGGTTTGATAGGCCTTTAAAAAAAACTAGTCTTCATTTTGGGGTCTTCGTTTTAGGGTCTTCGTTTTTGGGTCTTAGGTCTTAGGTCTTAGGTCTTTGTTTTGTAGACACCCATGAAACTTGACCTGCATTCTTTCGCCTTGCATGTGACATTCTAACATTATGCCACGTGTCAGTTAGCACATATTCGAAGTGCCTTACTTGTCAACAGTGTTGATTTCTTCGATATCTTAGGAATGCTTGTCTGGCCAAGCATGGTGGTCTTTTAATAGACCTTTTTACCGATATGGCGGCCATATTGAATTAATTCAATTTAAGGAGTATTATATTATTTGTATTTTAGAGCGCTTTTTGGGACATTTTTTCTTAAAGTTTTCTTAGAATAAGATTCTAATGGGAAAAAAGATCCTAGTGCCGGGTTTGGATGCAATAATGATTGCCTTTTTGCCGAGAAATATACAGTGAAAGAGTCCATATTTGTAATACTAAACTAGAAAAAGGCGATCATTATTACATCCAAACACGGCACAACACAGGCGGCCCAGACGTAGTATGTGTCACTGAATGAATATATTAATATCCACATGGACAAATTAATGCGATGAGTCGTCCAAACTCCCATGGACTAAAATAGTCCAAAAGTCAAAATATAACAAAACAAAGCTAAGATACCTTCAACTGAACGTATCCTTGTCATTCCTGGCCGGTTTAAGTGGCATTTTGTTGAGTTTTGCAATTGTAGGTACTATCCACTAAAGAAGAATTAAAGGCTGGCTACAAAACAAACAGACCATCTCCACGCGCCTTCACACGAAGCGCTATAAATTCGAGAATAATCGACGAATCCGCTCCAAATAACCATCGGCTAATCTGCAGGTAACGTGTGCTCCTGCTTCTGGCTCGCTTGCTCCACAAAACCCATCGCAACTGCACAATAATTGCTCGCTCATCAACAACCACTGTTGACCTTTACGCTTCGATATGACCGCAAACGACCAGGTTTAATACGCGACGTGAATATTCAAGCTTAGCAACCGTGTTCGCACAACAATGCAGCACTTGCTATGGGAGGGATGGTACTATTGCTTCTAGGTCAATCGACTGACCAAAGGCTCGCTGCGTTAGTTTTGACCAGAAAGCAAAAGGCGGGACCGTCCGTAAGTTTTCAACAGGGCAGCCCTGGTTTTCAAGTTCGAATTCTTCTAACGTTCGCTGTCTCAGCTGCTGTCAGATTGTTCGTCCAGCCGCTTGCATAGGTTCTTGACTCTACCAGACTTATTTGCTTAGATTAACAACGTCTTACTCCATAATATGTTGTCCAAACTGGTGAAGGAGGACGAGAATTTTCCCCCCAGAAAAAAGGCAAAATCTGGCCCCCGCTATGCAGCTGAATAGAAGATACAACTGAAGATATCGCAAAGTAAAATTTATGTGCGCGATATCTTTTTTATGATTATTATTATTCTCAAAACTCAGGGGCACCCAACGATGTTTTCCCCCTAAATGCATTGAAAACACATTTAAGGCTGTCCAGAGTACTTTTGATCGAAAAATGCATTGTAAACAGCGCTTACATAAATTTAGGGCTAAAAGCGAAGCTAATGATCTCATACTAAATATAAAATATATCGTGTAATGCTAAGCGGAGAAGGCAACGAGACAGGGCCACCCAATGACTGTTTCCTCAAATACTTTCAATTGAAAACACTTTTGTAGCTATTCATAAAGTACTTTTAGCTCTATAGAAATGCATTCTAAGTGGCGCTATAAAATTTGCATCTCAGTGTTTGGCCATTCTAGAGGAACTTGAGTCTTTTCGAAATTACGAGGAATTCAGAATTATTTTCCCGAAAATTTTAGATGCAATTTAACGTATTACGAAGGAGATAATTTTTCAGATACCTTCTTTCATCACATTTTTGAATCCGAAAATTTTAGGATTCCATTTTACTCTCTACGAAAAATAGCCTAACCCGGTGAGTGAAATGTGAAAAATTAAAAGTTGGATGCCCTTGACCAGAACTGTGAAAAACAACAATAGGTCTAATTGCAGCACACTTTCTTGTACATTTCCTTGCCGTTGATTTGCATGACTGCAACGTGAAACGTCCAGAAAACTTCCTGGTTTTCACTTTTTATGGAGAAAATGTGGTACATGTTCTTGTTCACTTTTTCCACTGCCGCCCATTTTTTTTAGCTCCGCTTTAAGATTCGTATCTGTTCGGTGCTCCTTGGGCAAATTGGATCTTTTTAAAAATTACAAGGGCTTCAATATTTAATATTTTCCTGATTGATTGACCTAGAAGCAATAGTACCATCCCTCCCATAGCAAGTGCTGCATTGTTGCACGAACACGGTTCCTAAGCTTGAATATTCACGTCGCGTATTAAACCTGGTCATTTGCGGTCATATCGAAGCGTAAAGGTCAACAGTGGTTGTTGATGAGCGAGCAATTATTGTGCAGTTGCGATGGGTTTTGTGGAGCAAGCGAGCCAGAAGCAGGAGCACACGTTACCTGCAGATTAGCCGATGGTTATTTGGAGCGGATTCGTCGATTATTCTCGAATTTATAGCGCTTCGTGTGAAGGCGCGTGGAGATGGTCTGTTTGTTTTGTAGCCAGCCTTTTAATTCTTCTTTAGTGGATAGTACCTACAATTGCAAAACTCAGCAAAATGCCACTTAAACCGGCCAGGAATGACAAGGATACGTTCAGTTGAAGGTATCTTAGCTTTGTTTTGTTATATTTTGACTTTTGGACTATTTTAGTCCATGGGAGTTTCGACGACTCATCGCATTAATTTGTCCATGTGGATATTAATATATTCATTCAGTGACACATACTACGTCTGGGCCGCCTGTGGGCACAAGGATCTTTTTTCCCATTACAATCTTATTCTAAGAAAACTTTAAGAAAAGATGTCCCGAAAAGCGCTCTAAAATACAAATAATATAATACTCCTTAAATTGGATTAATTCAATATGGCTGCCGTATCGGTAAAAAGGTCTATTGGACTACATATTTTAAATATTTTTGAATCCATAAACAGTCTAGATAATAACATGAAGAGGGAAAGGTAAATTGGTGCAAAGTTAGCACAGAAAATTGTGTAATAACCATAACATGAGAGCCGAGCAGTGAGTTGAATTGCGATTTTGTAAATAGAAGCGATAATTGTAAGCCATTGCAAAAACTGACAGCTCATGGTTGTTGCAACAAATTTATTTGTTACACACCTGTAGCGAGGATAAAGTAAAAAGAAAATCTATTATTTCAAAAGCAGATTTTTGTTTGGGCTCCTTTCAAATGGGAAAAAAAGGACACCATCAAATTAATGTTCCATGAAGGCAACACAAAATCTTACCATATCTTGTCTTGAATTGACTGACAAATGTCTCTGAAGTCTTTTAATTGATGGTCCAGGGACATCAACGTATGAGGTCTGGTGAAAAGTAAATAGAAATAAGACCGTAGTACAAGTACTGTGGTTTTAAAATACACATAATGTAGAGCCTCCAGTAGCTCAGCGGTAGAGCATCCAATTAATCTAGAAACTGGAAGGTCATGGGCTTGAATTTCTTCAGTTTTCTACTGTTTGATTTCTCTTCCTTTCAAATCGTTATTGTTGTACAGCCTTGGTCTTGTATGACGGTGATCATGAACAGCTGATTTTCATTGCCTTTTTAAATTATATTAAACTAGCTTTATCCCATGCTGTTTCATCATGTGTGTTACGGAGTTCCCTCTTGGGCAGAGTTGTTACTTCGAAGCCAAGTTACTGCTAATCCTAATAAAGTTAACCGCAATCAGAAAATATGAGTTACAATGGTAACTAACCCTCCTGAATTTGCACTAACCAGCAGCCTTCAAGCAACTCAGGTCTAGGAGCTCAAATGCCTGTTTCTTTGCTTGTGGATTGAAAACTTGGTATAAAAGGGAGAGGGAAGGGCTTATTTTTCATAAAGTTCATTATGTCATTGCGGATCATGTCACTGTCAGGTAAAGTTTTTTTCAGAGAAATGTTGGTAAAAAATGGTGTGTGTAAAAAAAAATTGATTGAGAACTAGTTCACAATTATACACCACTGTGCTACAGTGTATAATGGCTGTGGCTGCACTTAGCAAGTTAATAGGGTTAGTTATTATGGATGGCTGGACTCAACTTAGAATTTCACAAAAACCTCTGAGGTCATGTGGCTTTGTCTTATTGCTTGCTTGGGTTGCTCATAACTATTGCTTTGTGTGCTAATGTCTTAGAGTTACTGACAAAATTTTACCCCCGTATTAGTAATTATAGAGGCAACTTGGTGCAAGTCTACAATACTTGTCACAAATTGTTGAAACAGAAACCTTTTCTCTTAAATGTTCTTGAAAATTTCTTACATTCACTCTTCACATCTTTGTTCTCGCCCAGATGGCCCCTCTCCTTCCCTAATGTTGAGCCATGTGTATTTTAGAGCACTGAGACGACTGTAATACCCAAATCAACATTGGGGAAGAGGAAACGCTCACAAGTGTTTCAAGATTTTTGACGAGTGTTGTAGACTCAGTTATGCTAAGAAAGAAAAGCTGAACTTGGACACACAAGATGGAAGAAGTAACTTTTAAAACAGTAGTACTTGTGTGCATGGTGAAGCCTATACTGTAGTTGAAAAATTCCTACATGTAGGCAGAGATGATTGATCTTAACCTTAACCTGGGTTAAACTACTCTGTCATATGGCGTAAAATATATCAGACATATTCACCTTTAATTTTTACCTGAAGTAACTTCTGATGGGCTCATGGAGTTTGTGGCACCTCAAACTCCTCCAACCTATCAGAAAGGGTAGGAGGGGGGCCCACGAGTGGAATTTAATAAAAACACATTACATATAAAATGCAAATAATCCATATTTCTGGCACCTTGGGCTCAAGTGTAGACAGCTTATCAAGCTTCTTAAAGTCAAGGCTTGGTTTCTTGTTAAGGTAGACATAGCAAAGTTTGGCTCTGTCCATGAGTGAGAACAATAGAAAAGAATCTGCAAGAATTGCTGAAAATATAGATGACAATTCATTGTTAATAATATTAATGCTAACTTTGCTTTAATGGGTAATATGCTACTTTCATAGAAACATAAAGAAAATGAAGCAAAAGAACTTCCTTGTAAGTTTGCATGTTCAATTCCCTGCCTACTATTTGTAAATACCTGACAACTTGACATCCTATTGACAGCACTTACCTATTATCAATGCTAATAAAAATTATATCCACAACCAGGGTAACACATTTTCAACTGATTAGAAATAAGGTCCAAACTTAATGTGCAAAATATTTGTACAGGCTGATCTCAAATAGAAAACAATTTCATGCATTGATAATCATGCTCTCTTGTCTTTTAACCCATGAGAAAATAATATTCTTGGCTGCGCTGCGTAAAGACATACATGTAATTAGAGAACTTAAGATTAAGGTTTTTCGGCATTTCCTGCAAACCACGAATGTCAAGAAGTCACATGACCAAAGCCTCCCTGTCAGGTTTGCAAGATTGTCTAGGCATCTCCCGGCCGTTCGTCTCGAATATGTCACCGAAATGCATTGACCGAGAGGGTCTGGAAAGACGCTGTACAGGGACGAGGCAAGGCAGACGGGTAGCGTGAAACCATTAACCGCAAACCGCAGTTTGTTGTTTGCAGTAAAGTGACCAAACCTCGATCTTAAGATCTCTATTAAGAACTTTAAAGGTGCTAAATGTTATAAATTCACATTCTTCTTTGGTCTCACACAATGCTTGGCAATTGAAATTAAGCAGAAAAATCTATTTGTTTATCAAAGGGCATATTATTATGGCTTTTTCCACACTCCACTTCTAATTTATAGCAGAGCTCTGGCACGCACGAAGCGCGCGCTTGTGGAGCACCATAGGTAAGAAAATTTGGTAAACTATCCATCCGAGAAAATTTGGTTACGACATAACGTATGCCCACCCGTACACACTCTTCATGTAAGCTGATGTTAAATGTCACGCTTGGAGAAATTAACACTTTGTAAGCCATCCATATGAGGATCTGTCAAAATCAGACATGCGCTGACAGTAATCACATGACCATCTCGTGGGCTCAGATGAAAGACCAGTTGTTTTTCCCCCACATATAAGCTGATATAATATGTCACACCAACATAAAAATGAAAATGAAATGAAACTTTGCTTCACTGGCCAGGGCTGTCAGTTGGCTGCCAGAAGTTTAAGGTTATACACGCTACCCAAATTAAGGACAATTCACAGCTGTCAAAATGGGACATGTGAAGACCACTATCAGATCACTAACAACGTGGGCTCAAATACATGATCTGACATTTCCCCCATTAATCCTTCATTACAACCCAGACTGAAATGTCTTACTACCATTCCCAGTTAACAGTCCGTTTATTAAAAAATTTGCCATTCTAATGAAGTTCAATTGACAGCTGTCAAACTATAGCATCCACTGACCATCATCACCTGACCTTATTGCAGGCTCAGGTATCGGCCCACTGAGTTTGAGCTTTTGAAGTTATCCGCTGACAAGTTACTACTTTTCAAATGATTGCAGGCTCAAGTTCAATTTTTTTAACGCATAGGAAATGGAAAGTTGTGTTTATAAACCGCACTATTAATTTTTAATTTTAAACTGACCTCGGACACGAGAATTCAGCCAGCTTTTACAGACAGGGAAGTTGCTTTTGACCTTTCTCACCATGGTCAAGCATTGGTCACGCTCTACGTCCAATTTTTATGTTCTGATTAGTCAAAAGTTGACAGGTGAGTTCATGCGGAAAATTTATGCTGCATCTTGAAACTTGTTTACGGATAGCTGAAACTGACAGAGTTTTTTGTGAAGCTTTTAACTGTCTTTTTCTACTGGATGCACAAAATGAAATACAGTTGCTAGCAAGATTCTTACGTTATTCAAGGCTGGTTTGTTTATAATTGGTTTTTTGGTTGAGAAATGCGCCGCTTGTCAAAGTCATCGGAAATCTGATTTCGGATGGATCGCTTTTACTCACTTCCCCTTGCTTAATGTGTAATATAAGGAGGATTAAAAAAAGTCTCAAGCGATTCTGATGGCCTTCAGGAGCTGCATCTTGACTGGCATGGAAAGCCTGAGTTATCATTGTATTTGATGTGTTTGTTTTCTGGTTTCCTAAAGTCAAGCATAGTTTCTGCGCCTAGTTTATGCACAAAACAATGATCTGTCCTACCCAATAGCATCAGATTTGACATAAGCTTACAGAGAAAATGTTCCAAAGAATACAATGTATTTAGTTATGCTTTTGGCTGTAAAAAGAAAGCTCTGAGTGACATTCTTGCCTCACGGTTCATCTTGAAGTAAACATAGGGGAGCCGGCTTAATCTGCAAGGTTTTTGAAGTTTATGAGCTTATGCTTACCTGATTCAAGATTTTCAGAGACACTTACTCTCAAAACTTATCGTTGTGAAAGAAAATTGTTGTCTCTGTACATGTTTCACTGAGTAATATTTACTTTACTGATTGTTAGTAGTCTCTTTTTTCTCAATGTAATCGCTGGCAGGTTGTTTTCAGTCAAACATATAACAAAACATTGCACGCAGGAGTGCTCAAAATGCTGTGCGTAAAATTAATATCACATAACAAAACCACAAATAAAGGGAAATAAAACCTAAACATAATAAGTTCTCTATCCTGTTAAAGCTTAACTCTATTAATGTTCATTCAAATGGCTCTGACTGCTCGGACTGCAAATTTGGTGCTTGACAAAAGTGAGAACCTGTCCGGCTGGCCGTATAGTTGATTTTGGAAATTTTCTGATCATTTTCACTAAAAGCCCATTATTATTACCCTGCATATCACACAGAAGCAGATTTTTCCAACTAAACAGTCCTGGTATTATGGAAAATTCTTTTCACACAAATGTTTTATAATGTGGTCAATTCTACAATTTTTTGCTCAAAGGAAGTGCATGCGTTGATCGTCCTGCATGGATGTTGAATGAGTGCAATTTTTCTTGCAAAAGTGTGAAAAACTGCAGAATTATAGGTTTAAATAGGGCAAGGAAAAACAAATTCTGTTCGAGGTCTGTATGATAAAAAACACGCACACAGGCATAGCACTGTTTTCCTCAGACTTTATGTATAAGAACACTGATAAAAAGTATATTTAAAAGACTGGTTTACACACCACCAGATTTGTTGCCACGATTTACTTCTAAAGTAAACCTGTAGGAACAAAAATCTTTTCCGAAACACAAAAAGACCGGCCTGATTTTTTTTCTACAAATTTTTGGCCTTCCTAGGAATGAAATGTGTAAATTCAAGCTGCAACCGAGGACTCTCATGTGTTGCATAAAATTATGTTTCGGGCATATCCAATTATCTCCATAGTCTCTCCAATGGGGAGGTTGGAGAGACTATGAGTTAACCTTATAAAATAAAGGCAGTGTAGGTGGGTGACTGGGTTTAACTTCTTTTGTTGTTTTCTAGGCCTAATCTACTGTGATCGAAGAACATTGCTATTTTTCGGTGTACATATAAGACCATTAACTTGATGTAAAATTTGTTTTACTCTTGGATTGTCAAATTATTCTTCTCTAAGGAAACACTTTCCCTCAAAAATCTCATGAATGTACCTTAAAGTTAACTGGTTAATGTTTATTGTTTTATTTAAATATTATTAATTCATTAACATGAGTTTCACTTTTAGCCCTGGCTAAATCTATTATATTAGAGAATCTAGCTGAACAGTAGTTTTCTTGGGTGATGTAGTGTCCATTATCTGGTTGTTTTGTTACGAGTACCAAAATATCCTCCTAAGAGTTTCTTTTTCAACCAGAAACCACATTACATTTAACCTACAATTTCTGTAAGAATTTTCTCATTCCGAGTAAATACCCCTAAACTACAGCCTAAATATAATTGTTGAAACTCTCTTCTCTCTGGTTGGACAATCAAATATTATAAACCTTGACTTTAAAAATACAACAGAAATCTACCAAAAGTGGTGCATGGGAGAGGAACATAATTTTTGTGACTTTAAATGTCTTGTGGCTGTAAAAATTGATCACATTATGAACATGCTGTGCACAGCATCTTGTGCCTTAAATAAGGTACATGTAGCACTATTAGTAGTGAAAGCGCAAAAATGCAAATATCTGTCTGTAACAGGACAAAACTGTTTAGTCAGGATAAAATCTTTGAACCTAGATTTATTCTCAACGTCCTTTGTCCCAAAACCCCAGTTATTCATGAATTCGGGATAGGACACCACAACAAAAAATATTGAAAATCATCAATTACAATTTTTAACCTGAATTCAATTTTGACCTACAACACTACTTTCCATCCCTCCTATTATATCATATCATACCTTGGCTAATTTGTTCAGGAATCTTCCCTGCCAAGCTTTTATCAACTGATATTTTTTCAATATCTCCAGAGTTCAAAGACACAAGAACAGACACAACAGCTCCATTGGTTAAAAGTAGCTATTTAAAAAAGTGAAAAAAAATTAAAGGTTAATTGTTAAGCTCTAGTATCCATATGCATACACCAGTTCTCCAGACTGAACTCTATACATTTCCTTTCAGTATAAGTAAAGAGAATTTGATAAGAGATCAAACATTTTTTGGTAATGACTTTATTAATTCTCACTATAATCTCTTGGTTAAGTATTGATATTGCTATTATGGGAGCATTGATGTTGGTCACATTTTGAACTTAAAGGATTAACAGACAAAGAAAGTTTTTACAACTCAATTGTAAAATGCAGTTAATGGAGCATGATGCCCTCAATCAACAACATGTAATGCAGTGTTATGCTATAGCCCTTATCAAATCTCGTGGAAGTTTACTCATGGTGGGTAAAAGTACTGGGTAGTACATATAATCACAGCTATAGCTGGGAAATTACTGATACAATAGCAATCCTTGTTATTGTTGCAGTTGGGGCTAGTTTCTACCGTATCGCTCGTTTTGTATGGCTAGTAAAAATAATTTTCCCCATGCATATCTCATGGAGCACTTTAGGTGCACGTTCTATTCTGTAGTACAGTATTTTTCATCGGCTTACCTTGGGATAGCACTTGGACTATAAAAGGCCTAGTAAAAGTCCTGTGTCTCATTCCGAGCTGTATTGCGAAGTTGGTCACTTCAACCATCCTAAAGTTTTGTAATTCCTACCCTTCCCTCCCTTTGGAGGCCTTGCTGTTGTTCCCAATAAACACTGGCTCACCGCTTTCTTTCATCTTCAGTTTAAGTCTCATGGCGACTTCCCCAAGCTTTGATTTCAATGCAAACTTTTATATTTGATTGTTTTCCAGCACATGCCGGCGGAGTTGGCTCACAGTGCTGATAAGATAAAGTTCCTAGAACAAAATATTTGCCTACACTGTTCTATTAAGTTGCACGATGCAGGCCGGAGGTTTCAGCTTGCAGTGCCGTGGAGTGTTAGGTCGTATTAAGTTTGTTTCTTTCGGACCTACCGGAACTTGTCCGATCCAGTGCGCGTAAATTAGCGCCGGGGAGATAAGTAAGGCTTTATGGTCATGCTATGGAAGTCATCCACCACGACGATTGCAGAGCGGTGTTCCCCTCATTACGCCATATGTTCGTTGTCTTATTTTATTACACTTTATTGTAAAGCCTAGCTAAAGGAACTACGACATTAATGGCAAAAATAATATACATCATTTAAAGCTAATAAACAAAATAAAAATTATCATTAAATAATCACAATCACCTGAATATTCCTTAAAGTCCTCCATCTTATGTCAACAACTTTACAGTTTTGAAGCATGTCCTAAAATTGAAAGTCACGGTGAGACTACATTCTCAAATTACTCTGCCTCAAAAATGCTGCGCTGGATTAATTTTGGATAGTCCTCGGGATGCACAATCGTATGATAATTTTTAAAAGCTTAAGTGGCAACAGGTTGATCAACCATTCAAGCTGAATAAACTCGGCCTTTTAAAGAAAGTTATTGATGGTAGGGCACCGGAGTACTTAATTACAACCTTGGACTCACTTCAGTTTGAACACAAGTACTCTACCAGAACAAAAACATTATACTGCTTACCGAAACCCAGAACTGAAGCAATGAGGAAAACATTCTTTTATTCCACTATTAAAGAACTAAATGCTCTTAACTTAGTTCACCCCTTTAGCTTAATGAAGACAACACTGACTAATAACGTCGCCTCAAACTATACGGTGGACAATTTTAAAGTTAAAAAGTTATTCTGATTTTTAAAATCCATGCTTCTTTTTTTTAGTATCATTGTAGATTGGATTCCCTTTTTTACCAATGTACTCACTTCCGTTTTTAACATCTCTCACTTTTTTAAATCTCTAGAATTTTTAAGAACCTTTCACTATTTGTAAATAGGCTTTTTATCATGATTGTTGTAATTCTATTGTTATCAATTTTGTTTTTACAGGGCCACTAGAGAGGGAGAATACTAGAATTTTTAAGATCTTTTATTATCATTACTATTTGTAAATAGGCTTTTTATCATGACTGTTGTAATTTATTATGATCAATTTTGCTTTTAGAGGGCCACCTAGGGAGAATACTTTTCATAGTAATTGGTGTCACCCTCTTAAAATAAAGGTTACTATTCTTCTTCCCACACAGCATAATTCTCCATATACTTAGTGTAGCTTTAGATTAAGCTACAACTCAAATCTAAAGATCACACTATCCGTTAAAATTCAGCATCCTGCAAACAACACTTAAAAGCAAGGCCCAGCGTCAAAACACAGCTGGAAATTATCACATTCACGGACAAAGAAACTACATGTATGTACTCAAGGATCCTTGGTATGACGTTAATCATATCTACATGTAATAAAGGGCTAT